TTATTACTTTTTTCCTCTTTTCCTTTATTTTTTTAATAAGCGTATTTTAATCGCATCCGCTCTCAACTGTGACGCATCGATAACAGGCAGTCTATGTATATGTGCGATAATGTGTACATATGTGTGACATATTCAGTTTCTGCTTCTTTCTTACAATTATTTTTTTGGAGATAGAAAGGGCAATGACCGGTTTTACATAAGTCTCGTAAAAAAATTCTTTAATCTTCTAGGCATTTTTGTTCAAATTCCAGATAAAAGAATATTTTGAAGAACTTGATGCAATTTTTTAAAATACATTTTTTTTCCACGAGTTTTCTAATGTTTTTCATTCATACGAAGAAAAAACATGAAACTTCTTAAGTTTATATGTACTGAAAAATTTTCTTTAGATAATCATTTTTCACTTGCATGAAATTTTTATTTTTTTACCACTAGAAATTACAATAATAAATATCTATTGCATATTCAATATTTTATTGAATGTATAAACAAATATACTGTCTACAATATAAGACTCTCATAAAAAAATTCTCTAATCTTCTAGGCATTTTTGTTCAAATTCCAGATAAAAGAATATTTTGAAGAATTTTTGATGCAATTTTTTAAAATACATTTTTTTTTTGCACGAGTTTTCTAATGTTTTTCACTCATACGAAGAAAAAACATGAAACTTCTTAAGTTTTAAATGTACTGAAGAATTTTCTTGAGATAATCATTTTTCACTTGCATGAAATTTTCATTTTTTTGCCACTAGAAATTACAATAAAAAATATCTATTGCATATTCAATATTTTATTGAATGTATAAACAAATATACTGTCTACAATATAAGAGCAAAATTACTATAAAAAGAATTTTTGTTTTAAATTTTGATAAATTCCAATAAAATTCCATGAGAATTTCCTGATTTTTTTTAGGATATAAAAGAGATCCCTGAGATTTCAAAATTATTCATGTTTTTTTTTCCGGGAATAGATTCTAAATATTTGTTTGTTATTATTTAAATAACGATACTTCTCAAACTATAATCAAGAAAAAGTTGAAAAGTTTTGATCTACAAACTATATATCAGGAATACGACGTAGAGTTCAGTAACAAAATTTTACGCTTGAATTAATTTCACGAGTATATCTTACTTTAAGATTTCCAGATACTTAAAGTTGAAAATTAAGTATTTTATGTGTATGTGTGTGTGTGTATGAAGATCGCGAGCAAACTATCGCAAAAAAATTGGCTCAAACTTTGCCAAAGAATCGATAATTGCAAGTTAGCTCGCGATTTTTCTAGGGCACATCCACACATACACATATATATCTATACATAATTCCACTCGTTCGATTCCTCGTGCTTGAAAGCGCTAGCCTCGCGTTTGAAAAACGTTAAAGTCGGGATTAAAAATCGAGATTTACATTCGTTCCAGCGCGATTATATGGAAAAATTATCGGTGAAAAAGAAGAAGAAAAAAAAAACAAACTGGACAAGTTACACGCGCGTGGTGAGGAGGGGCGGGGGAGACGAGGGGAGGAGGGAGGGAGACGGACGGAAGTTGATCGATTGAAAATTATATACGGCGCGCATTCGTGTCACAAAGCGGAGATGTGCGCGGGCTGCATACACAATGTGTGTGTGCAGCGAAATACCGCAAATAACATTGTCCCATCGTATCGCTTCACGCTTCGAGAGAAGTTACGATTTCCGGCAAAGATGAAATATTCGAGGAATGTATAACCGCGATAATATGTAATATATCTCGCACGGACAGAGTTACGCAAAACCGCACCTTGCGTGTAGATATCGCAAAGTTGCTCGCACACAAGATATGCAACCTACGCAAATTGTAAGTTACGTTAGTGTAGCAACATGTGTTCGAATATTCGCGCAATATTTTTGTCCAAATGTTGTGTGCAAATAATTGATATGTACATATATGTAATATTTTTATCAAAATAAAATGCGCGATATATAATATGATAGAAGCTCAAGCATTTAATAGGAATAAAAAAAATTTATTGATATAAAAATTCATATAAAAATATCGTTTTTAAATATTAGTAATCTATATTAAATAAACAGATCTTAATTAATTTTTTAAAATCCTGATCATTTAAACGCGAATGTGAGGAAACAAAGGAATTATTCTGAAATTAGAATTAGACAAAATAACGAATATTGTTTAAACAACAAGATAAATTTATGTGGAGCAGCATGTGTTCGGATATTCGCGCAATATTTTTGTCCAAATGTTGTGTGCAAATAATTGATATGTACATATATGTAATATTATTATCGAAAGGACAATAATATGATGAAATAATAATGATTTTTATCAAAATAAAATGCGCGATATATATATAGTATGATAGAAGCTAAGCATTTAATAGGAATAAAAAAAATTTATTGATATAAAAATATCGTTATTTAAATATTAGTAATCTATATTAAATGAACAGATCTTAATTAATTTTTTAAAATCCTGATCATTTAAACGCGAATGTGAAGAAACAAAGGAATTATTCTGAAATTAGAACTAGATAAAATAATGAATATTGTTTAAATAACAAGATAAAATGATCGATTGTCAAAATAACATTCCAGCCGCTGTAAAAATATACGTACTTCGCTTGGAACGAAGAAAAAATTAGATATCTCGATTAATTTCATTGAAGAAAGAGAAAGATGAATTATCACGAATTATCACGAATCCTTTGATTACGCAATACCACGTGCATATTAGAAGTTCTAAATTATTCAATTGGCCTGAGGAAAATTTCTCGGAAGACTCGCATATTAATTACATAATTACTTTCAAAGTGACACATGTGTCGCGTTCGCATAGTCAATATCACGTGTGTTTTTTTCCTCCTCGACAGAGAGAGATTATACGTGCTCGCTTTCTTCTCCGCTCTTCTCTGACCGAGATACCTTATCGTACCATGTGATTTAGAAATAGTTATGCGTCCCCTCCCCTCCGTAAAATCGTGCATAACGATGACATAGTAGATTAGAAAATTTTGCGATAATAGATATAAATTAAGATAAATAAGATAAATATAATTAATAAATTGCACAGTAAATCACTGAAAAGGCTTTTCCCCAAAGTTCTTGATAATACTGAATAACGTTTGCCTAAAGAACGGATATCGATCTCGAGAAAGAGAAGAGAGAGAGAGAGAGAGAGAAACAAAATAGAGAGAAAAAAAAATATATATATTTCTCACATAAATATGCCTGAGATAATATTCTTGGCCTTTTATATAGCCTTTTGAAGATTCATTGAACGCCAATCAAGCAGTCAATCTATTTGAAGAAACGCGTATTTTCTTCTCGATGACCGATAACACATGTGCGATTTAATATCCAAGTCGACAGAAATAATTTGAGAAATTGTAAATTAAAGAAAAATTAAATTAATTAAATTAATTAAAAATTTAAATTTGTAAACTACTTTTTAAATAACACGTATACATGTATGCGTATTATTTTTTTAAAAATCTCTTTCTTATTATTTTTAATTACCTTTATAGACTATTTAATTATTAATTATTAATTATTAATTTCCTACTTAACATTGCCTTCAAATGAAATTTCCAAAGCTTATTTCGTTTTCATATCTGGAAAAATATTTTCCAACGATCGCATGCTGCGTGAATGGCTCGTAAATTCGTCATAACCGTATGATTTCTCTCTTTGATGGCTATAACTATCGTGAGTCATAACGTTCAATGACACTTATACCGTTATATTTGCATTTTTCTTCAGGTATATGTCGTTTAAAATGAGTAAAAAGTTCAACAGAATTATCTGAAAGATACACACATTTCTCATTCACATTCCTCTCTCGCTTGATCATGGATATTGCGTAATTTATAGCCCTACATCTACGCATACGGAAGGGGAGACTAAGAGAGGCAATTGAAACACATGTCGCTGAATCAAAATTCATCGTAACATCTGACACGATAATCCAATATTAATATCGTCAGATGAAGAAAAATTTCTCTTCTTAATCTTCGAATCGATTATTATCAACTATCACGAATCGATTATTATCAAAATCTGTCATATATTTAAAAAAAATTTATTTTATATTAAAATAAAATTTATTTTACATGAAAATAAAATTTATTTTAATTAAAAAAAAGCATGCATAGATAACGATGGGCATTATATTTTTAAGGCATTAAATTTAACAATGATGAAGTTGTTGCTCCGTTTGAAAATATTTCGAATATTATTTAAAACTATTTAATTAAGCTTCAAGCTCTCGAGTGACTCATCATTCCAACCTTTTACATATCGAAATAAAAATTATTCTTACAAAATTAATAGAAATAATTTTTATTGAAGCAAAATTTAACGTTAATCTGTCATATTTATTTATATATATATTTCTACGTATATATGCATTTTTATTTATAAATAATTATTTATATATAATTTTATATACATTTTTAAATATGTAAATATATATTATCTCATACTGTTTCGCTCTCTCTTTAAAATTCACGAAACCTCGCGACTTTCCGAGCCAATCGAGAGACGAAAAAATATCAAGACGAACACTTTCAAGGGCATCGGAATACTCCTAATCCATCTTGGCTCCTCTACCGCTAGATATATCGAGATTTATAGGAGCGCGGGAAATAGCACGGATCGTTCCGTGCATCAGCGAGCGGATTTATCGAGGCAGGGAGGGCGTGGTTCCTCCGGACACCGCGACGTTCCTGCGTCCGCTAGAGACTCCGATCGAATCGCTCTGTCGACTCGACGAAACGCGATCCTTCATCGACGGGGCGAACCTCGTCGTCGCGATCGCGGAAAATCACAGGGGAAAGAAAAATCGAAAAAAAAATCGAGCTCAGGAACGTCGCGACGCCATCGACGCGCGCGCGCGCGCGTCCGACATTCCTCGGGCGCTCGGGACTTTGGGTCACCTCTCCTGAGGGGCGGAGGGGTGAGGGAGGGCGGAAGAAAACGAGCACGAGAAAAAGAGTACTGACCTCGGTGTCTAGCTTCCCCTTGGACGCCATCTTGACAACAAGCCGGTGGCGCTCGGGCTGACGTTCCTCCGGCTACCTGCTGCGCGCGACGCGGCGCGTGTTGCACTTTGCACTGTTCGCGATGCGTGCTCCGATCGACGACGATCCTCTGCGACAGAGCGTGCACTCCGCTACGATTTCACCCTTCGAGGCACACGCGCGGACGGAGCGCGCGCAAATCGAACGCTCGCTTTGATCGCTCTGCGAGCGAGGGGAAGCGCTCTGGCGGCCGAGTCGCGACAACGGGCTCGCCTCGAGAAGGGAGGGGAGGAAAGACGATGGCGGGGCGAGCGCGGCGAGATGTCATGCACGTCACGCGCGACGCGTTTTCCTCGCGCGACGCCGTCGACGGGGAGAATCTCTCTCGTTCACGAGCTCGAGGCGTGATCCTTCCTCGGGCTCCCTTTCGCTCCGTCCGCCCGATGACTCGCGACGTGACTGCACGCGCGAGCCGCTAATTTTCCCTCGCGCCCGCTATCCCGCCTGGCGCTGTCACCGCCATGCTCGTGACGTCACGCCGACTGCGTCCGCCGGCGCAACATGTGTGCCCCCCACTCCCGCCGCATCCCGCTGCCCCCTCCACGCCTGTAGCTTCTTCCTTGTTTGTTTTCTTTCTCCCTCGCGGTAACGGCTCGGTCTACGCCCGCGGTTTCGAAATTTCTCACACATATATGTGCACACAGATATTATGTCGTAACCAGTGATGTTATCCGATGGTGTTTTCGAATGAGGTTCAAGCTTGTTGAATTATGTATTCGAAAATAAATATGAATAATATAAATGATACATAATTAATAATAAAAGTAATAAATACATAATAATAAAAATATGTAATAATTAATAATAGAATAATTAATAAAAATATATAATACATAATTAATAATAAAAATATTAATAAAAAAATAATAAAAATATATTAAAATTAGTAATATTAAAATAATTAATAATATATAAAGTTATTCTCATTTGTCGCTATTTAATATCAGATTTCTCGCCTTGATTAATCAGTCAGACGCTTGCTCGAAGTATTTGATTAATTTAATAATCAAGACAAAGTTCATGACATTATTAATCGCCAGCGATCAAACTTTCTTCACTCAAAAATATTATGAAAGCGCTATTAAAACCATATCTGATTTGAGATGTATTTTCTTTCGTTTTGAGATATTTAAAGATATTCGAGATATGACTTTCCGATTGTAATCAACATTCTATACATAGCTAAGAATAGATATTGCAAAATGTCCGCTGCAAGATATCATCTTGCTGGCAAAGTATCAACGGAAATTTCTATTAACAAGATTCGCTAAATTCGCAGAATACGCGATCTGCTCGATGCTCTGCTAATAATTTAAACGGGGGCTCATAATGTAAACGCGATTGACCTTACGCAATCTGTCGCAACATATTCTGATTAAATCTGCTGTCAAATTGCCAACAAATCGCCAACAGTTTGCTTATTAAGATTATTCTATATTGAAGAATGCGGCAATATGCATTATTTGTCAAAAGAGAGAAATGTGTCGTCTTTTTTTACATTTTATATCAAGACGACGATCCTACATGTGATAACTAGAGACATTATCACACGATATTAATCTAATTTAATTTTCACTTCAGTTTTCATTATATAAAATTCGTGATGAAAATTATTACATATAATACTTTCCAGCTTTCAACAAATTTATCATAATTCTGTCTCCTTAATCATTTCGATATCATCTGTTATATATTACTTTCGTTTATTCACATTAAAAGAAAATCAGCAATGCATCGCGAAAAGAAAAATTCACGAGTAAAAAATTTATTTAACGAGTTATCTTATTATATCTCTTATTTAACATTGTTTCAATTATGATTTTATAATTATCATGTAAAAGATTTGAGCGTAGAGATACAGCTGCTTATGTATGTGTGTGATTTAATCATCTTGTTATTATCAGCTTTATCACATAATATCAGATTGAAATTGCTATCAATATTTTCGAAATCAGACATTTTATTACATTTTTCTTTAAACATTAAGCTCTTATGATATACATCTTAAAATTCTATTATATTTTGATTGCTCGCGTGTATGTGTGTGTCGTGTCAGACAAAAATATAAAATTAAAAATATGCTTAATACTCTAAACATTTTATTTTTGATAATATAAGCATATCTTAGCAAAAAGATATTGAATAGAACTACTTCGTTTTATTATTTCGATTTGTTTGATAACTTTGTTATCACAACGATGAAGAAAGAATCTTTTTATCGGTCACCTCACAATCCAGACTGAAGCACACCTGTATATTCTTGTTCTCGTCGATTAGGGCGAATTGGATGTTTAGAGCCAGAGACGGGTAAGCCTTAGATATGGGCATCTCCAAGTTGTACGTGGCCTTTGAGTTTTTTTTCAACGGGCATTTGCTATTTACCAGCGAATTGCAAGCATTCTTCTCAGGATAAGGATAGTTTACCGTAGTACCCATGAAATAAACTATTACTTGCGGTGCAAGCGATTGCGCATCAGCATCTGTACAAATGAAACGTAAATGTATAAAAAGCTAGCTAATTATTATCTCTTTCTCACTACATTGCAGATGAAGATATGAACATATTGCCAATGAATGGATATTCAAGCGCGAGTGTGTGTATATGTGTATACAGCATATATAAAAGAAAATATTTTCAAAATACATTTTTTGTTTCTACAGATTTGATATCATTGAGAATTAATACATTATATTTTTTTTAATTTTATATACGTATACACACATTTTTACTCTACGCACTAACATTATTTACCAGCAGTAAAGTCCCACTGCGCAGTCAAGTTTGTTCCCTTGTAGATGTAGCAAGGAGAACTATCGCATCCTTCTACTCTTAATTTCACGGGCGGAGGTCCATTGTCGCATAAGTTATACGGTGTGCTCTGAGACACCGCACAGAATGCGGAGATTATGCAAGCTACACATTACACAACATTATATTAATAAAACATACTGCAATTTTTAAAAACTCGTATATGTATTAAAAAATAAAAATTAACGGCAGTACTTACCAAAGATGAAAGCCTTCATGATGATGTCCTCACGAGAGAAATGACAATCAATAACGTGATTTTCAATCGGTGAAAGGCGCCTTTTTATTCATTCGATATTATCTAATCGAATGATCACCTGATTGCCCTAAAATGTGATAAGCTCCGGGAAAAATTGAGAAACTCATACAAAGTAACACTCGAGAGCTAACACCTGTGTCAATGATGTTGCAAGTTTACAGAAATTATCAGTCAACATGCACAATTGTGTATTACGCATTTGCTGATTCGAATAACCTATTAACAAGAAAGTAATTTTATTATAGTTATTGATTTTGATAAATGCAAAATATTTATGATTAAAACATTTAGTATGTTTATAGAACCATTACATAATAATTATGGTACAAAATTGTGTCAATACAAATTAATTCATTCGATGTGATTTCATAAAACTATTCTTTTGAAATATTTGTACAATAGAAATTGACTTTGAAGTAAAAAGAGAGAGTTAAAAAGATAAAGAAACAAAGAAAGAGAGAGAGAAAGAAAGAATACACGTGTTGTAATTATTGCCATTTTATTTATGTATCGAATTATATAAAAATATTATCTCTATCCCATTTTTTAAAATAATTCCAATTTTAAAATAAAATATTCTATATTTTTATACAATATAATTATACTATAATTACTATTATACTATAATTATACTATATTTTTCTCTTGAGCGAAATATAAGAAAATTGGATATTAAAAAAGTAAAAATCATTTAATAAAATAATAAGAGAGAAAGAGAGAATAATGATTTATTGTTTATTGATTTGCCAGGATGGTGTACCAACGAAGCGTGGTACCAATCGATCACGTATCCATGTCGGTGTACTTCTAAATAAAATTCTATAAAAGAAATATCTCCATGATTCGCACCTGAAAATATATTAATCATTATCTTATTATATAATCAGCGCAAAAATAATAGCAAAATTTACGTGCAATTTTTTTTAAATTTATAACAGCAAAAATAAAAAAAATACATGTAGAGACCTATAAAATATCTTTATTAAATGCCTATGAAACATTTTTAACATCGATACAATGATGGAATTTCATTTCATTCGATTATTTGCACAATAATTTCATTAACATAATGTAAAAAAAATAATTTTATTAACATAATGTAAAAAAATAATAGGGAGAAAAAATCACCTGTAAGTTGCCGAAGGATAGACATCTAAAAGAGCGCCATCAAAGGTTTCATAGATTCTCGGATTCGTCAAAACTTTCACATCATCTTCATTGTTGGATGGCAGACTTGCCTGGGAAAGGTACTTGGCATATCGAGTGAAATAATTGCCATAAAATTGCTTCACTTCATCCGACATGTGTTGTTCCATTTCGTCAAAGTACAATCGTTGGTTTCTCATGATATTACTTTGTGTCACAAAACCACCTATTATTGTATCAAGAGAGAGACAGAATTTTATTCAAAAATCTTTTCAGATTTTTTTATATTTCAAAACAATCTTATCGTCGAAAGTAAAAACCATAATAAGAGAAGAAAGAAAAACTTAAATCGATAAAATAAAAAATATTTTTAAAAAAATTTAATCTTTATTTAATATATAGTATTTTTAAAATAAATCAGAGTGTCTACTCATATTTTGTAAAAGAATTCCTTGAAAATTTTGTGAAATTTCAATCTTTCAAGATTTTTCATTCAAAATTCTAAATAAAGAGAATATTTTGAAGATTTTTAATACAACTTTTTCCAAAATACTTTTAAAAAACTGTTTTCATTATACATGTTTTCTAACACTTTTCACTTATATTAAAAAAAAAGTCATTTGAATTTCAATTACTAGATTTAAAAATATACTAAAAATTTAAATAACTTTTATAAAATCAATATTTTTCATCTGCATAACATTTTAATTTTTTTATTACTAAAAATTATTATATATTCTATATTTATTAAGACATTGAATATATAAATAAAGATATATATATATATATATATATATATATATATATATATATATATATATTTATGAATGCACATAATTCATAACTTGGCTTACTGATAAACTGCCGACTGCTTATAAAAGCAAGATCATCAAAAAAAGAGAATCATATTCAAATATTTCAAAACATTCTCTAAATTCCAATAAATTTTCATGAGAATATTTCTCTGATATTTTCCCAAATTTAAAAAAAATTTCTGAGAATTTCAGGTTCTCTGGAATAGATCCTGTATATTTGTTTATAAACGTACTCTCTTTGTTCGCGTGCTGTTTTTTACATAGTTTTTTGTTCTCAACGCAGATCAAATTACTCATGCATTCTTATGCAATATTTTTTGTACTAACCAGGTATAAAGGAAACTACATTGACGCCGTATTTGCCGACTTCTATCCGAAGAGCAGTGATCCACGCGTCAATGGCGGCTTTTGTTGCCGAGTAAATACTTACACCCGGCAAGGGTTCAGCGGAACAGTGGCTGGACATTACGATAATTCTGCCACCATTTTGCCGTATGATCGGCATCAATTCCTTCGTGATTCTCATCGTTCCCAAGACATTGACATTTATTTGAAAGTTCGCGTGAGCCTGCGTCTGCCACTCAAACTCGCCGAACACCATCACTCCCGCGTTATTCACCAACGCACGTAGCACTGCGAATAGAAAAGAAATTTACAAATTGTAAATTCTTATTTTATATTTTTACGCTTTCGATTTTTTTCTAGTGTGTTTCTAAACATACGAAAAATTTTTCGTATGTTTTCCGTATGTAATTTTTCGAACAGTTTTCCACTACTGCATCGTCTATATATATATATATATATATATATATATATATATATATATATATATGTATATAATGTGTGTGTGTGTGTGTGTGTGTGTGTGTGTGTGTGTGTGTAAGCTAGCTGACTACTATTCTTTATTGTGACAAGTTACTGACCATTCCGATTAAAAATATTGAAGATTTAAGAAATCGCATAATGTTGTATCATGCGAAACAATTCATAAATACACTTGGTATGTTTAAATGTATTCATCAATTAATGAGTTTAATGCATTGATGTATATACATTTTTTTTCCAAAAAATTATATCCAAAAACAAATTAAATTCCTGAAATTTTTTGCACATATTTAGAAGCACTCTGTATTGCTCACTTAATTGCCGTTCCTCCATCGTTTCCTTGACTCTTTTCCCAAATTTGCAGACGGAGTCTTCATTCGTGATATCGAGATCCTGAACGATGATACCTTCATCCCTTAACGATTTAATGGCAGCGTTTGTACTTGATATCACACCTGTTTCGCGCACTCCGGCCAAAACCGTCGCGCCCTTAGCGCGACAGTGCATCGCCAGGCTGTAGCCCAGACCGGAATTGCAACCGGTTATAACAATGAGATCTTGTGGTTTTATTTTCAATCGACGTTTAGAAATATAATACAAGGTAGCACCACCTGAAAACAGGTAAAAGAAAAGAAAAAAAGAAAATTTTATCATTAAAAACTACACAAAAAAGTCGAAAGATTATACACTAATGGGAGAATTTTAATTCAAACACTTTTGAGATGATCTATGAAAACCGCAATAACTTGGCATAACTTTATATAAAACTATAATATGTAAAACTAACTCTATACAGGGTGATGAAAAATTAAGTGCCATAAATTTGTGTAATGAAAGAAGGGACGAATACAAGCATTTTAAGTATAGGAATCATAGGACGTTTCTCATTGTCAGTAGCTCGACTGACAACGTGATCTATGATAATTTGACTGAAAGACCTTGAGAGGTAAACAAACCAACTACGTTGCTTGCCTCGCAGGAGTTGTGACGATTCAATTAAACGCCCATCACGCCTTAATGAAACGTCGCCGCCCTATAGTTCCTATACTTAAAATGCTTGTATTCGTCCCTTCTTTCATTACACAAATTGATATTTAATTTTTCATCACCCTGTATAAAACTAACAAGTGTCGAATCGCATTTAAAATAAATCTCGCAATTCGAGAGAAACACGTTTATTTCTTATAAGTATATTAAAAGTATATTATAGTTATATTATAGGTATATTAAATAAGTAAAAAAAGATTTAAAAAAAATTTATATCGACGATATAGAAAAGAAATCCCATGTCTCTTCGAATTATAAAGTGGATTTACAGAGTATCAGCGAATACGTTCGATTTCGATTCAGCAGAATCAGCGAACGAAGGCCACGAGACCAGCTAAGCTAGCAGAAATGGAAATCCTCTTACCCAGCGAAACTATCGAGAGCATCGTGGCCGTACGCGTATAACCGGTCTCCGCGAAGTACGCGACATTGCACGAAATTGACGCAGCGACCTGCAAGGCCGTTGAATTTCTCCTCCACCATGCAGTCCATCTGTTACTGTACACCTCCTTCAGCGAGTTCATCTTCAAGTTATGCAGCTGGTGGCCTATGTGTCCGATGTATCAAGCCCAATTCAGATTAGATCAAATGCCCGAACCGGTCTCTGGAAAATCGTTCACAATCCTTGTCAATAGATTTATCTTATCGCGTTTAATAATTCGAAATAAAAATGCGCTCTTCGCATCATGTGAAAATAAATAAAATAATAAATAAATAAAATAAAATAAAATAAATAAAATAAATGAAATAAATAAAATAAATAAATAAATAAAATAAATAAAATATATATTTAATAATATCGTTGATTTTTTTCGGCTTTTCTTATACTTACAAATGAATTTGTACAGGAGCGCGGAACAAAACTTGAATCGCTCTGCTCGCTAGACGATGAAAGTATGCAATCCTGCGCGATCACCGGCGATCGTCGGCCCCTGTAGAAGAAATGTGACCCTCAATCCACCTATTCCGTGTTGTGGCGCCGTTTGGGCCCCACTGCCTTTTGAAATAAAGTGAAGAGCGATGAGGGCAACTTGTGATAAACATAAATTTTTTACTTGTTGGTGGATGAAAACATTCGGGAGTTGTAGGACATTCAGCTTCGAACTTATTCCAATTACTTTATCGAAAGTACATTGAATATTCATTCCACGTGACACTATTAAAGGGAGAAAATAAATTAGTATCTGAGATAATTAAATATTAAGTATTTAGTTCTATTCTATGTGATATTGTGTTATCCCTTATATTATTATTATTATTATTATTGATTTGCTGATTCTTCTCAAAGTCATTGACAGTCAAAATTATTATCTCGTTAAATTCTCGTGTTTTATTCGTTATAATACATAAGGAAGAGTAATTTTAATAGATTTTATAAAAATGGAATTTCATTTTGCAAAAGAATAAAGTTATATACTCGAGTAAACGATCATGAAGAGCAAAAAAATGCACCAATAAATCATCTTATACGTACGCGGTTGCATTTTAATATTTCATGGAAGGAGATGTTTATTGGGATACAACTCGTTTCATTTGAATTTCAATAGTCCATCGGAGAAAAATGTATGGAATACATCACCTTTTTAACATTTATATCTTGAAAAGATATCAAAACTTTAACTATGTCTGAGCTTTTAACTTTAAAAAAAAAGATGTTTTACACGAAGATAAATAACATTGCCTAGAAAATGTTAATTATCAAAGCTTATTAATTATTTCATATCATATAATAGTATCACAAATAAAAATATAAATATATATATATATATATATATATATATATATATATATATATATAAAGAATATAGTTGATTATAAAATACAGAATATAAATGTCAAATATCTACAAAATATAATAAATATATATGTATTATACAAAATGTAATAATTATATAGTACAAAAAGTTGAAAAGAGACGCACATTTGTGCCATTAATATACAGATACACATATATAAAACATGCATTCCTCAGTTTTATAACAAATATATGGATAGGATAAGTAAGCTTTTGTACGAGAATTTTGATGCGATAATTTTGTAGTTTATAAATTGATAAGCCTTTATAGATTTAAATATACAACTTTGATGTAAGATATAATTTACATAAAAATTAACAAATGTTACATATACTATGACTTACACTAGATATGTCCTACCATAAAATTACACTTTTTCACGTATTGCAATTGCATTGGCGCTTCTCTCGCAATTATATATCTCGTCATTAGCACATTTCTCACACTTCTGGAATTGTTCGATTGTTATCGCTCTCGCGTGCAGGTATAACATTACACAGATTGATCACCAAGCTTTACATTAGGATTTGCTAATACGTTGAAGCTCGGATCACCATCCGTCGCCATTCTGCCCAGCCATGAAAAGAGCAGAATAATTCCAACAAAGAATAATAAACCGATAAAGATTACCACTGCATATCTCTTGTACAGAGATCCCGTGGTTTTTCGACGCACTGGTGCTCTTGATATCAACTTCCACCATCTTAGGAACCATTCTATGGCGGATTTTCGCTGGTACTTGTTCTCATCGTGATCAAAAGACATATCTTTCGGATCGTCATAAGCTTCACATACCTTCCTAGATGCTGAATTGGATAATCCAAGGGACGATTCAATATTTACGATTGAGTAAGGTGGGCCAAGTTTTTGATTGCTTGTATGTACATTGCTAACGGTAGAATGCGAATTAATACTACTACTTGTGCGAGACATAGCAACTGTAGGAGATGCTGGCGTAGCTACTGTGTGGTTTTGGAACAAAGTGCTCTCTACTGTTATCGAAGGACGTTCTTGTTCCATTTTCTGTTCTCTATCATCACTTAACTGTAGAAAAATGAAACATATTAATAATAATTAATAGAAAGCAACATTTTCTAATATTTGAAAGAAAAATAGCACAGCATTAGATACCAATGGTAAGCCAAGACCAGCTCGAGCCCAATTCACAGTGGCCAATTTTTCCCTGAGAACATCCGCAACTGGTGACACCAATTTGGATGGCGGAAAAATACACACTCGACACGTGGGACAAGTGTATCCCGCCGGTGCTGTGGTTGCTGGTAAGTCCCTGGCGTATTGGTCCAAACATACCCAATGATACATATGATAGCACGTTAATCTCACGCAATCCCCATCGCTCAATTTAGCGGAACACAGTGTACAGATTGGATTGTAGTCATGGTCATGGAGCCATAACAAGTATGACTGTACTATACACTGTAAAACACATGTAAATTAATCACACACGATTAAGATAAATATTATATTTGATTTTACAAGGAAATTTTTGTCGCAGATATCTTTTGCATATAAAATCGATAATATAAAATATAAAATATAAAATTGATTTGCGAAAACATACCTTTGGATGACTCGTGACCATGCAATGTTCGCATACATTGACACGATGCTCAAAACAAAATTGATTAGTTACTCTTCTCTTCGGACACTTGCACAGGCCCATGTTGCAACGTCGCGCGAAAGGACCGAAACGACGTTGAAACAAAAGGACAAAATGCACCTAATTCGATATCCGCTTTATTGGCTCTCCCTGTATAACATGTCGAAAGTCTCAAGGTAATATCGCCGCTCTTTATTTGCGCAGCCTACCATGTTCCATCACCGGCCACGTCGTCTGACATTTCTTGCCGACAGGGGTACCGGAAACAACCAATGGATCCTACGATTCCGCCGTCCAATCGCCGTTTCGCGATAGACGAGAAAGTCGGAGATAGGAGGATAGAACGCAAAAAAATATGTTAGAGATAAATCAACTTGGAAATATGAATGTAAATCAGAAATTATCAAGGCGAGATATTGCTTCGAATCTTTGGATCGGTATCCTTGCAACCAACAATATTAATTGCTTCCCACGCGACGATATTAATGAAAAAGAAGGATTTAAAAATCTTGGAATTTTCTATCTCTCTCTATCTTAAAATTTAAAAAATATTTTAAAAAATGTTTTGAAATGTTTTTAAAAATATTTTTAAAAATGAGACAAAATATCTAGGCACGTATAAACAAATTAAAGAAAGAATGGTTATCTTCCAGAGGAAATTAAAATAGATATTTATAAAACCTACCATGTATGGAAATATCATGTGCCGGTCATTATGTGTGATATGCACACACACCCATTGGGTCTGTTCTTTTCAGCTGCACTGCTGCACTAGTGCAATAAATTAGAAAGAGACAAACATGCTTTCTTTCACTCTAACTAATTGCACTAGTGCAGCAGTGCAGCTGAAAAGAACAGACCCATTGACATACATGTCGTGTCTGAAGTTGACATTTTTGGATTAAATGTGTGGTGCCAACTTTGCGAATAGTGTGTATACAACCTGTAATAATACCTGTAATTTATTTATTATAAAGTTTTAGCAGCGAAATTGAAATTTAGTGGTAGAAATGTGATAGGAAGGGACAATTATTGATCGATTATGAATTAATTAGATACCTTTTTTCTTAGAAAATCGATTATCTTTTCAATGTTTTTAAAGATGGTTATTCCCTAGTCAATAAAGTCTTTTTACCAGAAAGAGTCGCTTTTTTCTGATCGGTTAGTAGCAGTTTGACAGCCGGCGTTCGCTGCGCATGCGCTAAATATTTGTGACCCGCCTGCCAACTGTCAACTGTCATTGATAATAGCACACATATATATATAAAATATATAATGTTTGCGTAAACGTAATAATAAGATAAAAAAGGCCTAATGGTAGGATGTTTGACAAAGTCATTTCAGTTTGCATTTGACATGACTTTGATGGCCGCAATGTGTGGACGTAAAAGTAGATAAATGTGAGACGTTCATCAAAACGATAGTGACCTTAAATATTTTATTTATCAATTGTGACTTAGTGAATTCCAACTGCAAAACAATATGCAGAAGGTATATTGATTATTTATTATCTATCATTTATATGCCTTATTTTATCTCATTTTTGTACATTCGCGATTCATTGTCGTATTTATAAATAAATAAATATATATATATTTATTTATAATAATAATATATTTTTTTATTCAAATAACATTATGTGTGTTGATTCATTTTTATTTTTTTCTTTTATTTTAAGGAGGAGGAGAAAAGAAAAGTCCCATCAACATTAAAGACGCTTTTAGCGGTTGATGCCTATTTAACTAACATTCTTGTTAATTCGGCACAGCAATTTTCAATCTTGAGGCAATTAGAAATACATTACATGGTCTTAAAGGTAAGATTAATATATTCCTTTAAATAGTTAAAATATTCCTTTATTTAATAAAGTAAAATAAAACACCATTATATATATATTTTGATTTGTTTATTCATTATTTCATGTTAGATATCATGTCATGGCATAGTGTGGCTAATAACTAATCTTGTTAATCGGAAGCAATTTCAATCTTAGCAATTAGATACATTACATGGTCTTAAGTAAATTAATTACAATATTCTTATTAAAAAAAAAAAACAATATATATATTTTGATTTTTAATCATATTATTTAATATCATTCATCATAGTGTAATAACTAATTTTGTGTTACTCTGGATTGTAAATAATTCAAATTTATACCAAATGCAAGTCAATCTTTCAATAGGTAAATTTAAAATCAATATTTTAAAAACATATTAAAATATAAAATTCCATGTATATATTTCTAATATGAATTTCCATTGTATATATATTTCAGGTTTATTGTTAAACATTATTATAATCGCTGTATTGAAAGCAGCATCAAGAAGAAGAAGACCTAATGCTAACGACAATCTGTTTCCCAATAAAGACTCTTTCCCATCTGGAAATGCGGCACATGTGGCATTTATCACATACTTTTTTCTCAATCTATGGCCTGTACCTTTAATATATGTGCCTCCGTTGTTAGCGTGGTCCTTTTCCGTTTGCATGTCCAAGCTTCTGATGAGAATAAATTATATAGGCGATATTTTGGCAGGCATAGCTCTTGGTATTTTGCAAGGTATGCTAGTAGGATATATATATATGGAACAAGAGACTTGCACCCATTTAGTTTGGTGGATTACTGATGAAAAGACATCTGGAGCTGAGTATGATGTTTAATAACATTATTTCTTATACTAAGGAATATTTGTCCTTTGTTTTATATTATTTGTATATAATTATGTGATTGTATGAGTGATTAATTAGATATTTGATCAAAATAATTTGGTAAGACACAAGTATACATATATATCTATTTTAATGTATATGATATGAATGAAAGTTTGTGATAAACACTAGTTTGAACAAAAATTTTATATGAATATTTTTTTATAATGTAGATAAGGTATTTTATATATATAAACGAATATTTCTTCCACTTTGTCTATTTATTTTTTTTCTTTATTGAAAACAAGACACATGTACCCTTATTTTTCATGTATGTTATTTTTTTATGTATCATTCTAGATGTCTCTTTTATAAGAGTATGTCATATTAGATTTCTATGGATTATATAAAATTTTTGTGTAATTGGAACGACAGATATAAATATTTAATATTTTTTCCAAACTTATCGTACCTGCATATCTCAATAATTACATTACATTATACATTCATGCAAGAGTAACAATTTGTCACAATACTAATAGTGATAGCTCAATGAATAATTTAGACATATCAAATCATTGATATTGCTTCGTTTCTTTAACTGTAGTCCTTATAATCTCTGCAGAATGTTCCTTTATTTGGATTATACATCCTGAAATATTAATGTGAATGCTTTTACATCTATGCATGATACACTGTGCGTTTTGGTATGATTACGTAACCAGTCACGTAAACAGTCTTCAGTTGATAATACAAATTTTTGCTAATGTGTGTGCGCCCTTTTTTCTCCATTCTACTTATATGTACTACATATTTATATACGTAGTATACTTATGTGTGTGTGTGTGTGTGTGTGTGTGTGTGTGTGTGTGCCAATTTCTAATATCTATTAATATAATATTGGTAACTAATTTTATCATGCATTCTTCTATGGTATTTATACGAATCTGAAGACGTATACACGCATACACAAGCGGTTCTCTCTACATATGAATGTGTGTGTATATGCATTACATGTGCGCATATACATATTATCTCTATAGTGAATATCAATCAGTCCTTAAATTCGAAGCGAAATACTGCATGTTCTTTATTTCTTTTCCGTTAAATATAAATAAATAAATAATTAATATTAATTATACGTCTCAGGATTGAGGCACGCGTGTTAAATAAGAAAAGATAGAATACCAGTTTCACAAAGAATAATGTATCCACTTTTTGCAAGATCTGAGACATCCTGCTTAATATTTGTGTAAACAATATACACAAATTTTTTCGATACTCGCTTTTTATAATTCAGTTTATGCTGAATATTTTTCATTCCCTCTCTTATCACATGCTAAAATTATATTATTAAATGTATAAATATGAACAACTGACACAAATAGAGCGTTACACATGAAGAATAAATACAACATAAATCTTTCTTTGACATTCAATTCTTGAATATACAGATACATTTATATTTTCTATATTCTCTAACTTTCTATAGTCTATATTCATTTAAAAAAATCCAGACATAACAACTATTGTCTGCCTCGCAATGAAAGTCTTAAAGTTTTATTATGTATTGTTACATGAGGTCCCTCAATAACAAGATAACATAGAACTTTTCTAATTAATTAATATTTTTTTTCTCTCTCGTTTTATATTTACGAATAAATAATGTTTCAAATATAACTGATCAGTATTCATCATCATAGACTTTTTATTTTTTTTTTCATTTTTATATATTTATTAATTTATTTCTCGAATGGATATATGAATATGTAATTCATTCACCATATAGATTATGAATGTAAACTTATCTGATAAATAGACAAATATTGAAAATGATGAACAGACATTTATTTTATAAAAATGATTTCTTATTTTTTGAAATATCAAGCATAAAGTGTAAAATTTTTGGATGTGTCTCTTTCTCCAATAATTTTTTATTTAAATTTCTTATTCTTTTTCTCTTATATGAAACAGATTTAATTTTACATATTTCTTTAATTTAATTAAATAACATAATCTTTAATCTAAAGATTGATATTTTTTCATTTTTATATCAGAAATGTTCCACCCTTATATCGTTGTATTTTATTCCAGAAAGAATTAAAGAGATGAAAAATTTCGCTAGTAGTTCAGAAACATAAAAAAATAGAAAGACTTGAAATTTGTAAATTTGCGGACTGCAATGTCTTAATCCTGAGTGAGCGATTATAATTCTTTCTCCCTGACTAGATTGTAATCCTGTTTAAAGTATATGGATACAAAAGGAGCAAAATCTCTCCAGTTATTTGAAATTAGGATGCTGACTTAAGTCGAGCCAATCCGATTTGTAAACCATTACGAGTTTTTCTTCCAAAAAACGGGAAAGCGAGAAAGATAATTAGATATCGGTTAGATCGCTTCACCATAAAGGTGAGTGATAAAACTTGAGATCCAGATGTCCGTGTTGATTGGTACCGGTGGCGACTTCCTGACCGCACGACGGCGATGGCTTTACATTCTTCTCCGTTTTCTCGGCTTCCAATAGAATAGGAACGAAAGGCTTCGCTTGATTATCTGGCACGATAGGCGTCGGGACGGTGTTCATCTCGAGACTACGTTGCTTCTGTTCCTCCTCGGAGTAGATGCTCAAAGAACGCGGTCGTTCCAGCTTCAACGGTGGAGGCGGCGACGTGTTACCGCTATCGCTACTGCTGAAAAATCAACTTGCCTGTCAGATTGTGACAGACGACACACGCAAGAACAAGCTGACATTAACATGCAACATCACATGTCTCTTTGTTTCAGTCCTGAGTTCACGCAGATATGTCGTAAGCGTTTCTTCAAGGAAGAGTTCGTTTTACGTTCAATTACATTCATTACATGTTCTCTTTGAAAATCAACACGAATCGAGTTTAAGTGTAGATCTTGTTTTTCTTTTTCTCGATTTCAAGAATTAACTTTTTGATTGCGATTAATTTTAATTTTTTTTTAAGCACAGATTTCATTGTAAAAAGTGGATATTATTTTAACGTAACGCATAATTAAAAAGAATAAACGTTGACAATAACTTATTAAAATCCTGTAAATAATGCAATTCTTACGTAACAGTACAATAGTTTATATTTCATATAACTCTATGCACATAATGAACAATAAGCACACTCAAGCTGACAAACATGAGAAGTTAAATGAGATGTTAAAAAACTGCACAATTCTTTACAAAAATATAATTATTATAAAAGGTAAAACTGAAATGTGAAAATGTAAAATAGAAGCCTTGGATTTTTATATTGAAAAAAAATAATTAAAAAACAGAAAAATAAATAGAAATTCTATTGCTTTTTTAAAAAATCTTACAAATTATAAAAATATTTAGTTTTAATCATTACATTACTGGTATCTTCCACTTCCCACTACATCAGCAAGATTTATTTTTGCGCGAATATAATATAATTTTCAGTTATTTCAAGAATTGTTTGAACGAAGACAGCTGCCAGTTTGATTTCTCTCATCTAAGTATTTGTATATTTTACACGAATTGCTTTGAAATGCTATTGAATAAGATTATGAATGAGTTATTTGTCCAACAGAATTTAAAAAATTTCTATTTGTTTATACGTATAAATTGAAAAATTTAGATTCTTCTTTGTTTTTACATCTCTTTGATAGAAGGACAAGTAGAAATATCTAGTTCGAGGGAAACTCTACGTGCGCAGAAAATAAATCTTTATTAACTTATATATTGTTCCTAATAATTACAGAAGAAAAACAGAAACTCTTATGGGCTACAATTTACATAGAGCACATGTTAAACAAATATAACATACATATTCATATAAATCATATAAATAAAACTGAAATATAAATAAATCTTGACTTTTAAGCACGTAAAAAAAAAAGCTCGGCATTTCTCAAATTTTCTTTACTTCATTTTCTTCATTTTCTTTTTATCTCTTTTGTACAACTCTAATTCATATTTACACATATTACAAATATTCACGATATAATGATTTTCAGTACTATTATTCGAATTATAATTACTATTATATATACACACGCGCGCGCGAGTTATTACATATATAATACTTCCGTATAACATTACTAATCAATAAATTTAATCAATTGTACAAATAATTTACTTCTTTCACGTACAGATAGAAATGTACATAGAATAATTCCTTTAAGGAATCAACAATAATATAATTTGTATAGATTTTAAATATTTCAAATGCGCGCACATTTTTGTCAATAAAAATATATCATAACAAATTAAAGATATTAGGTCACCTAGATTCCATTTTTTTACATGTATCACATATTTTTAGTATTAAAGAATAATGAACACAATATTTAGTACTATCGCAAGAAATTATATAATAACAAAATGTATTTTTTACAAAAATATATTCTTATTTATTTAAATGTATCAACAATTATAAGTTTAATTTTATACTATTCGTTTCTCATATAAAACATAGATTTTGATGAGATCAATAATTCCATTTTAAATTTCACACACCGGACTTGAAATCCGAGACTTGAATGTGATCGAGGTGACCCGGAAATATTTATCGCCCGCCTAGACATCTTGGCAAGCGATGGCGTTTATGTATTTAGTATAAGAATAGTATTTCGGCAAGCTGTCTCAGCGACTGAGCATAGGAGATCGTTGTAAATTAACTCTCGATTAAACGGATTTTTCGATATTGCAAATGATAAAACTGATGAATTGACAATTATTAACGTAATGTGTTATCACAATGAATTATTTGAAGCATTTAAAGCGTTGGAGATACGTCGAACATACACTCCTAGCAAAATTAATCAAATTAAAGCTTTGGCGGTGACTATTAATTAAACTTTGCTCACAGTGCAACAATGCCAAAATAAATACAAATGTATAGGCAATACATACATTTTCTTCTCTCACAGTCCTGTTTTTTTTTTCAATTTGTTCTATCTACTAAATAAATCGTTAATATCTATGAATTAATTGTTCATCTTTTTACCGTTGAAGAACTTCTTCTGTCGGCGCCGTTTAAAATTTGAATTTTCATTGCACAACTATGAGAGAATTGTTTGTCAAAACAGAGATCTCAACCAAAAGAATATTATTGTATACAATAACATTCCTGTGCAATATACTATTATTACACATAATCACTCTCTAATCTTCTATTAAATATTAAAGAAATCTAAGGCAAGCAATTTGCAGGCTCGGATTGTGGGTCATCTCAGATTATTGCGTGAATTTTACTCACCCGGTACGCTCGGTTGATTGACCAAGCATCGCAGTGTTATGGATTATCTAGAAGAAAGCGTCAATATTTATTATGATTAGTCATATGTGCGTGTTATAACGTCTAGAAAATAAGAAAGATTTAACACTTAAGAGAGAGAAACATAACCAGAATAATGCAAATAGCTGCCAAACGTTAAACTTAAGCAAAGAAGATTTCTCCGTAAATATTTGTTTAGCTAAAAAAATAATTTTTTTCTACTTCATTTAATATCAGAATCAGAAATAATAAGTGTAAGTTACATCACATATATTTAGTCACAATTAAAAATTTTTAAATATTCCTCCATATATGTATCATCAAAATAATGTTTAATATATCTATATATTTTACAATATATATATATATATATATATATATATATATATATACATATATATATATATATCATATTTAGAAACAAATGTTTTTTGAAATATGGCAATATCAAAATTCCGTTATTTTGCATGTTCATTTTAGTAACATCAATATGATGAACACACAAATCTTGCATTATAATTTTATATAAATAAACATTTGTATACACAAGAGCTACTATATAAAATGCACGCGTTGAAATTAATGAATGAAAAATATGACATCGATTAGGAGAAAAATATTTCCCAATATTTCCTCATGTCGTACTCACATTTGCCATGGAACAGGGCGGTCGCGCCGCGGCGTATCTACCGAATGCGCTACGCGAAACGGACGTTACATACGGGACTCCGTTGAGACTGAAAAGCGAAATTTGATTTTTTTTTGTTTACGTAATTGCAAAGTCACGGTTCGCATCTGTCGCTTCGCAGTCGGCGCGGTATCCGACGACGCACCTACCTAGCACCGTTTTTCCCGTTATTGTTATTATTGCTCAGCGTTCCGTCATCCAAGCTCGTTCTGGGAGGCAAACTGTATCTGTTACTCCTCACATCTCGGCTCTCTAGAAATATGAAAACGATAACTGATGAGCATTTAATTGTAGGTGAATTGTTACAAAAATTTGGAAAATGTACACAAGTTTTAAATGTTTCATATATTATTTCATATAATTGAAACTTGATATGTTTGTTAAATTTACGAGTGATATGTATACATGTGTATATCATAAATATACATATATATCACATGTAAATTTAACAAACACATCAAATTTCAATTTCAATTTTACTTTTTGTTAGCAATTTCTTCAATAATTAAAAAAAATTAAAAATTAATTTTATTTCTTTATATTTGTCACATTTTTTATTGTACATTTGCAGTAACTCACGAAATTGTACGATCGAAATTTTTTTTTAAATTTTAGAAATGTTATTTAGAGATATCTCATGTTATAGAAATATATTGTTTATACTCTGATAATATACAAGCTATAAAACATATTATATAGTTTATATACTTGTCTCCTTTTTTCGTAAGTTATCGAATTTAAAAAATTTATCTCTCCGTTTATCCTTTATAGATACATTAAAATTCTTATATTAAGTTATACTATGTATTTTAAGCAATTATCAGCGGTTATATTTAATGATAATTATCTGTCGTTTCATTTTATTGCCACTCGTTATCTCATGTGATTACATTTCTCTTTTCGCATTTAATATTTCATCTTTTGGTAGACATATTCAAGGACATTGATTTCTCGAGAAACGCTATCAACAAAATTGGAGCGAATCGTGCATAATCAGCATAAATGTGAATCAAGCAGTGACTCGACATCTAAGGACGCGACTTGATCGATAGACATAATCGAGGCATAAATCGTCCTCAGTGCGGCATTGGCCGAGATTTCAAACGTCTGCAATCGAGCACGTATTGCCGATTTAAGACGCGAAACTTGACTCGTAGGGCGACTCGACCTCTGGAACCAGATCTGACCTTGCGTCTGTCTGTAGCGAATACCTTGACGATCAGCGAGAGAGACGTTACGAAAGAGATCTCACTGCATCGTAGGAGCAAAAAAGAATTGATTCGTTCATTTCTCAAAATTCAAAAAATTAATTTTGCAATTACATTAATAATTAGGTACAAAAAATTAACTGAAATAGATACATAATCAATATAAAAATATTGTGATCATGTATATTTTGTACCTAATCAATCTAAATGACTAAAAGAGAATTTATTTCTGAACTGAGATAGAGAGAGAGAGAGAAATTTAGAGAGAACATTTTTCTATGGCACATATCTATGTTAAGATTAATTAAAATATTTATAAAATTTAACTGTAGTGCACAAAAAAAAATCATTTCTCACAAAGATCAGATATAATATCAAAACTCATATTTATCCAATGTGATTAATATTTGGTAATATGACCTAAATTTATTAGATGTTACTAAAATTTGCTGCCGTAAATTCTATATGTTCCGTAAGTTCTATATGTTACAAACAATGTTTTAGCGATAAAAATAGCAATAAATTATTGGTGCGACACCTAGATATTTACCTACATCAGTAAAATATTTTTTTGCGAGAGGAAGGACGTGAATCAGAAAAAATATTATTTGTGACAGAAAGAAAAATTATCACGCAATTTATCATTGCGATAAATGATTATTGTGTCGCAGAATAATTACTATATTTCGTATCAAAATAATATTTTATATCGCAATCGTGACTTTATCTAATAATATTTCTGATAATGTGAAAAAAACAATCAATGTAGATATTATGCGAGATATAAGCGACAGATTCACAGACGTGAGACTTATTTTTGGCCGCACACGTCACTGGCCAAAAGCAGTTGTCACTGTTTTATTGCAAGCGAAATGAAATGTTATGCCTTTCATGTGCCTTATTCATATTTGGATACGATTTTACTTTGATACATCTGTTTCTGTTATTTTCCATCGTAATTTGTGTCGGCGAAATAGAAATACTAGAAGAGGTCTTCTTTGAGGCTACCCTAATACTACAGGGTTAATGAGAAACTCTGTTCGTTTTCATTCTTCCCCTTGCTTATTTCACTCACGCTTTGTATGTATTCGTATATCCTTCATAACTTATAATCACGAAAGTAGAATAATCAGAGTAATTTCTTTATAAATCTGAGAATTTTCTCTATAAATGAGTACAACCATAGAAAATTGTACGAGTTGACTGCAAACATAGAATTATTATTTAGTTCAATAACAATCATTTAGTTCAATATCTTTTTACAAAATTCCTTATCACAGATATTAACAACGACAAAAAATAAGAGTAATGTGTAATATATTATAAAAATATCAGTCTTATATTTTACTAGATTTAATATACACATATAATTTAATGGCAACACATAGAAAGATAATTACATACCATCATTGAAGAATCCTTCAAAAACGACGAATTTATTGTTCTGTGGAATGATCTTCGAAAGTCCATAGTATTTACGTAGGAAAGCTAAGAATTTTTCCGAAGGTCGATCAATGGCCAATTTCACCGGCCTAATGTTCTCCTCCTATAAATTAAATCGTTTTATTGAAAGTGGAATAAATGAAAGAAGAATTAAATAGGTGAAAAAATAATAAAACAAAGATATCAATTAGAAATACTGAAACGTTATTAAATTAACATTTATACAAACTTCCAAGATATGGTAAACTCTTAAGATATGGCAATATCTATATAACAGACTCTAGATAAAAATCTTTATTATTTCAAATTGATTAAAAATATTCTAAAAAACACGAAGAATTTTTAGCAAAAGATAACATTAAGAGATTTGATTATTAAAGAAATTATTTTATTTTTTATTCAATTTAGTATAATTTACGATTTTTAATAATAGATTTTAATATATTTAGAGAGATTTTAAAATCCTTTTTGATGTTTTGATGGAATATAAGAGATAAATCAATCACGTATTAAATAATACAACTGTGTAAGTGTGATGAACTTTCATTATTTAGCGAAAGCACAAGTTACAGAATCGAGCAATTTATTGCGGGACCGAGTTTCCAATAATAATCGTTATACAAAAAAAGAAAAAAGAGAAAATAATAATCGTATACATAAAAAGAATAAAATTAAGAGAAAACTACATTATAAAAACTACATTATGAAAAATATAAAAAAATTATCAAGAATCATATCGAAATAAACGACTATGGTCGAGTTCAATCACCTTGCCGATTATCTTACGTACGAGTGTAAAACCCGCCTACCTGTATGTATAATGACTTCTAGTCACGCATCTGTTTAATATCGGTCGCATTTCACGATATCTCGGATTTTGATTATAAGAAAGTCGCGGCGACCACGAAATAGCCCATTCGTTATAAAATTACAGCCACGCAAAATAAGAGAGTTTGATCTCGAGAACAATATAATTTGCGAAATTTCAGATTTTATCAACATTAATATTAAAATAATATATGTGTATCATGTTTATGACTAGGTAATCTAAATAATCTTCTTCAGTCTCGAAAGAAAATTGACCGTACCGTCTTTAATATATGCGAGATATATCATCAATCATAATTAAAAGCAATTTTATTAATATGTACTTTGGATATTGGATTCGATTTTCGATTAAGTTATGATTAGAAATTGCTATCTATTGCATGTTTTCCTAATATTAATTGCTTTAATGAAATTTATTATTTATGATAATTTTTAATTATTTACGTTCAAATAAAATTCAATTAATATACAAATTTAACGATTTTTAACTGAATAAACTTTTCTAATAATAATATTTTTCAGAAGAAAAAAGTATTTAATAGAAATTGTATCTTTTTAATTTCATTGATGAATACGTATACACACTTATAGTTACGACATCGTACTTTCGAATGACTCACTTCGAATAGTGTGACGTATGAACGAAGGAATATAATTACGGATAATGAATGTAAGTTATACATAGTCGAGTATTGCGTTTCAGGTTTTGCTTTGTTAGTAACCGATGCGTATCATTTGTAACGGAAATCTAGCAAGTGCTTCGAGCACGATTGAGCATTGTGACACGTTGAACTTGGTGCACAGTGTTGCGTATGCACATTATTTTATTTTTTCAAATTATTTCATTACTCGATATTTTTGTCGTCACAGTAATTAATTATTTTGGCTTAAGATAAAATGTGAATAAAAATGATAAAACTTTTAATTTAATTTGGAATTTTGTTTATATATTATAAGAAATAATAATATATACACTATTTATAAAAAAATTTAATATTATAGTTTTAATTATTTTTATTCTGCGTTTATAAAAATTAATTATTTTTAATAAAGAAATCTTTTTCCAATCATTTTCTCAAAAAATTCTTCATAAGAAAATATAAATTGTTAAATTTTCTCTCTCTCTCTATCTGTCTCTCTTTTTCTCTTCCTCTTTTTCTCTTTTTTTCTCTCTCTCAAAAAACTATTTAAAATCTATTTAAAATTAAAAATTTGTAAGAAATAAATAATAATCATAAAAAATTAAATCTGAAATTCTATATTTCTTATAAATTTTATGTATAAATTTTATTGTACGAATAAATATTGTGTTGTAGACAAGATTTGTATTAAAGAAAAGAAGAAAAAATAGGAACGGTTGTCTCTTTGCGTTACAGTTCTGTGCACTTGTCCTCACGTGACATATGATTTCAGGGTTTTGAGTTCTCGAGCGGAACGAAAAGTGGTCTACAGAATTTTCCTTTTTTCTCTGTTGCTTATGCATTACTTTAAAAATTGCAAGAAATTGATCATGTATTATTATCTTTCTTCTGACTGAAAGTGGTTATTTATCTTAATTTCTATGCTACTGTTTATCAATGTACAGATGATTCATATTTCTCAAATAATATAAGTATTGCTTTAGATCACATAATTAAAATTTGAATAAAAAAATCATTAAAGAATACGCCATATATTTTTAAATTAATTAATTAAATAATATATATGCATATATATATTGTATATTTTATATAGCAAGATTAATTTTCTTTATTTTAAATTATCATGTGACGATATTGATATGTTATCAACGATAACAATGTTGATATGTTATCATCGATAACAGCGTACATTTTCAATTCAAGGAATATTCTTTTTATATAATTTCTTTATTTTTCACGACACACACGCGCGCGCGCGCACGCACACACACACACACACACACATGCACACATACACATACAGAGTGTATCACTTAAATCGAGCATCTTAAATATCTCACTTGTTATTAAATGTTTTTGATGATATGAAAAAATGTTTAAGGAAAAAGTTGCAATTGGAAAAGGCAATTATGGTGACGAAAAAAATTGTTTTCAAAGTCATTTTTTTCGGACATTTGAAGATCAGTTTAGTTATTTTAAATAAAACTATCTTAATTTTTTACTTAAATCGATTTCACGCAATATTTGATATTAAAATTATAAGGAAAGACTAAAAATTGAATATACAATAATTTACAAAATATTTTATACTTTAATTTAACATAATTTCATATATGCTATGAGAGAGAAAGAGAGAAATACTTCGTAAAATTTTTATTTTTTATTTACTTCAAAATTTACATTATTATTTATTTCAATTTTTTTATGCATAAAATAAAAAAATCAATTGATGTAAAGAAAACACATAATTATTTCTTTAAAAAATTGAATTTGCGAGCAGAGAGAGAGAGAAAGAAAGAGAGAGAGAGAGAGGGAGAGAAAGTAATATATTTTTTTCTTAAACATAACTATGTGTTTTCTTTACAATTTCTCTCATTATTTTGTGCATAAAAATGTTGAAGAAACAACAAAAAATGAATATTTTATGAGATATTTCATACATAAAATTTATATTAAATTATAATATAAAATATCTTTATAAATTATACAATTTTTAGTCATTCTATCCTTAATATATAACTTTTTATGTCGAGTGATGCAAAGAATAAATTTATATATAAAAATTTAAAATAGTTTTACTTAAAAAACTAGGTTGTAGGATTTTCACATCTCAAAAAAATTATTCTGTCATCATAATTGCTTCTTTGAGTGACGTAATTTTTTCGCATCATCAAAAACAAAATTTAAAATACTCAATTTAAGTGGACTATGTATATAAAAGCACTTCGTAAAATCATACTATCAATTTAACCGAATTTAAGCAAAAGCATTTAATCCAAATTTTCAGAACAAGTATTTTAATTTATCCAATTGAATGATTACGATTAGATTAATCTGAATCATAAAAACATGTATTGCGCACCGTGAGATTATGAATTTTTCATAATAATAAATATTATTCGCTCTTTCATCACTAACGTAACGTAATTGCAAGTTACTTTTGTTTCACACGAAGTTTCGACGATGGTGATTTAAATCGTGACTGCGCGCGACGCCTTCTGCTCCCGTACAGGAAGTAATTATGCCTTGTACTGGCGCATCGCAAGATTTGTTTTCGAGCGAGGGAGTCCGCATCGTCTAGCGGAAACTCTCTCCTCACGTGAGAACGGCCTGTTTCTCGCAAACTCGTTAACACACAATTTTATCGAGAGGCGATTTTAATTAAATCGTCTTTGTCTCTCAGCAAACATATCTTAGAAACGACGATAATGTCAAAATTTCACTATTTTATGTAATAAAATGATTAATTGTGAGAAGTTTTTTAAATATTACATAAAAAATTATACATGGGACTTTCTTTTGCGATATTTTTTACGCCTTATAGATAGCAATTCGAGATTAAACGTAATTGAATATCTGAGGAGAAGTATATACACTTTGAACTTACAGATAACATGTGCTGATAGAGAATATTTCCCAAGCCCATACGTTGCCGTGATTCGTGTACATAAAAGTCTAAGATGCATCTCGCCTGCAGTTGATAATGCTCTCCCATCTCGTCGAATAGAAAGAGGTTCTTCGATCCAGTCTTCAATAAGCCCACCACACTTCCGAGTCCACTGCGAAATCAAGTGTATTAGTGCATGATTTTACACGAATAATTCATAATCGCGCGTATTTGCGAGACAACTTTGGAGGACACTATGTATTACGTGATTACTCTCTTAATGAATGCTATAAACGATGCGTAATATCTACGTATATATAATTTGACGCATATCTCATACCATTTTCGTCGGCAGAATAAAGAAGAAGGAAGAATAAAGAATAAAAAATTCTTTATACTGAGACAAAATAATGTCGAATGAATAACATCAGTGTAACTAGAATTTATTTTATTAATTCAATAACATTATTGATCAAATCAGTACATTAATTTAATTAATGTTATTATTGAATTAATAAAATAAATAAATTCCAATTACATTGAAGTTGTTGATTCAATATTTTTTTCTCAGTGTATTTATAAGCGATTAAAAAACGCAGAGTTTTTTCAGTAATTGTTTTTTAGTAATTTAGTAATTAATATTTAGTAATAAGTCTTAAATAGATCTTAAAATTTAATTACAGAAAAATTATAATTTTAATTGAAATAATAATTCAAAACTTAAATAACATAATATATGTATATTATTGCAATTTAAAAAACAAGAAAAATTTTTCACTAGAAGCAAATCGATGCTTACGATTGAATTGATGCTATCAGTGTGAAATTGTTCAAAAAATAGTTTAATAATTTGGACATTCTATATATTACTATAAAAGTATTATATTGCATTTTAATTAAGCCCCTTTCAAAATTTCAGTCGAGCTAAATAGAAAGTTGAAAGTTATATATAATATCGCCTGCAGTTTTACAGAATCTGAATATTCGTAAAGTCGAGACAATATTACAGTTTGGCACATCGATCCACTGTTCTGCAAGAGATAATATTCTAACCCCTTAGCTGGGAAACACCCACTTTTGGTCCATAGTACTTAAATCTGCAACGCGCATCTCGAGTATTTCGATTTCCATAATTGCAAGATGTTTGCTAACAAGAACTCTCTTATCTTAGTTTTTATCAGTTTAAATGTTAAAAATAAGAAAGCTTAAAAAAATAAACTAAAGATAATATTAATTATATTGATATACTAGAGATTGCGAGCGTTAATTACACAAGCGCGATACTACTTCAAGGATACAGTAAGAGCTTTACTTGTTTGCTTCATTATCTACGAGCAGATAAATCGTATGATCTGTGTCCCGAAGTTTAAGGGCGCTGGTGATGGGCTTATTGAGTCCTTGAGCTCTTGCCGATGCCTCACCCATATCATCCAATATTCTGCTTAAAAGTCTTTGACATTCGCTGGAAAAAAAGAGAAGGGATATTAATTATACATCTACGCTCATTTTTAAAGAGAATCAAGCATATTCGTTTATAAAATAATTTGTAATTAAAATATAAAATAAATATTTTAAAAATGATTCCTAATTTATGATCAAACTGCATCCTTAATTACAAATAGAAGTTTTGTGATACTTGGAAGATTTCATGTTTTTGTAAACGTAGATTTTTAAAATATCTTTAGCAAATAATTTTGATTATTTTTTGATAATTCTTGATTATATAAACATATAGAAATATATATATATATATATATATATATATATATATATTATAAATAACAATTTTATTATACTCGAGAATTGTCATGTGTTTTTGCATTTGTAAATTTAAGATATCCTTAGAAAATAATTTTTGATTATTTTTTTATTATATATATAATGCATGTGAAATACTTTATTTAAGAATTGTAAATTCTTATCTTATAAATAACTGAAAAATTATAATCTAAATTTAATCACGAATAATAAAGAAATAATCAAAAATTATTTTCTAAGGATACTTTAAATCTACAGATATAAAAATACGTGACAATTCTCGAGTATAATAAAATTATTATCTATAATTAAAAAACACAATTTGATCGTAATCACTTTTCCAATCATTTCTTTTGAAATATAGATGCTGCGAGTGTCTCTTAAAATAGATACGAGTAAAAAATAGCATCTCGCTCGAGCATTTCGCCGCAACTATATAAATTGCGATTTATCGCTGAAATAGTACGAAACAGCTACGTTCTACTTTTCATCTTTACACATTTTATATGCTTTATACGCCCATCATTCTCAGAGATTTATGCTAATTAATTCTAGACGGCAAATTAATTCCAATCAGATGTTCTTCTATCAAGTATTTAGAACGAAACGTTTTTGTAATAATATGTATAACTAGTGGAAAGCAGCGTGGTAAATATACGGTACGTAGAAAGTATCTGAAACAAGTATTCAGATAAATTTCTAAACATTAATACTGATTATAAATTAATGTTTTAATATGTTTAGAATTTATTAGGCAACATCAATACCATATAAAGCTAACGTATAAATATTTATTTTAAATAAATAAATATATTACATAAATTATATATATTAATATAAAAAAAAGTTAAGCTACGTAATGATTTAATAAAAAGAGCTATATTATATTTATGTAATTTTTAATCTTATGCAAAGTAACATGCAATTTTGCTATTCGATTGATTTCCGCTGTTTACAAAATTACACGTTAGAAAATTATGTGGATGTGATTATTCCTTGCACATCATTCAGTTACGAGTAGTGACCTAATTCAAGTTTTGGACGTGCGCCAATCGCTTGCTTTGCGATAGAGATCAAGTTAATTTATTCTATCGGTATTATGTCTTTTCTCCTATAGTCATTATATTATAGGTGTGAAGTATGATGGATTATGTTCCATGATGACATGGATAACCGCTATGTATAGAAAGCTGCATTGCGAAATCCAGCTAATTTCAAAGATGAAATTTTGCGGAAGTATCTTTTGCGAGAAATTTGCCTAATTTTACGATGGATTCTCTTACAATTTTAGGGTCGACTTTCTTTTCAAGAAATCAATTTCTTTCTTTTCGGAAATTTGATAGAAAGTTATTGCTTGAAATTTATTTTTTAAAATTAAAATGTAAAATGTTGCGAATTAAAATATATAAGAAATAAAAAAATATCACATATATATAAATTTTTTAAATTCTATCTGTTTTTAAAACAAATTCTTCGTATTTAATTATTTTTAAGAGAACATATAATATATGTGTAATAGAATATAATAATATAACAATATGAAATTCTTCATATAAAGTTTGATATAATATAAATTTATTAGGAATTTTGTGATTTAGATATTTGTTGCGCAGATTTAAAAGTTTGTTACAATTTAAAAAAATCTGATTTTTATTTAGAAAAAACTATCACAGGTATAAACAATTATTCATATTTCCATGATTTTATTTTTTCATCTTGGTAAGCCAATTTTGCATTCTCCAATATCATTCAGTAACGGTTCTTCCGACTATTCCGATAATAGTCATATCTGTCATTGGCCCGGTTTTATAAAAAGGATCAAGGTAATCAAGGAAATACGATTTATTCGTTCGTTCTCGCACATCGATGAAATGTACGTATTGTGAATTGCTCGCACTCTTTGCTCCAATAATTCTGTTTAATTGTATTTAAAATTATTGACCGAATCAAAAGAGATAATTTCCTTCATGTGCATTAAACTTTACGAGTAAAATGGTTAATTATATGCGTTCATAAGAGCAATTTTTTATATGAACGTGAGAAGTATTAGAAACCGCGTGAGAACTTACGAGGAGTATATAGTTGATTACATTTTAACGAAGCTATAAATCGCAGTTAATAATAAAGCTTGTAATTTATCTGATGATACAATATATCATCTACGCGAAAATAAACTTTCTAATTTATAACGAGATAATGGATGAAAATCTAAGTATCTGACACAAAGTATGCTAAAGAGATAATTCATTAATTTATTTAACCAGAAAATTAATTAATAATTATATTAGCAATAAAAAATAAAGGAAAAACCTGATTTGTATTGTTATAGAACGTTTGATTTGCAAAAATTTTGCCCGAAATCAATATGATAAATTTCATATTGATTTAGATAGAAGATTTGCAAATTGAATGACCTGTAATAATAAATCTTGAGGATTTTTCTTCATTTTTATTACTAATATATATAATTTTAGCATGTCGTATTTAAATTTTAGCTTATATACGCAATTAGCAAATCCATATTCAAGATTTTGACGACTATTTCCGCTGTACGAGTATCAATTAAGAGATTATTACGACGATTCATGTCTAACGACCGGGCAACAACCGATTTTACAGCTTATGCATGTAATAATATTGCGTCAACTAATCTTGTCGAGAGAGAGACAAGCAGAGGCAATGTTTTCTGCATAATAATCGAGTGACGATGAACGAACCTCGCGCGATTGTATAAGAAAACCAGCTTCTCAGCCATTTCGTCATAAACTTCCGCGAGCGTCGCGAATCACTGCTCAAGAATTCGATGGAGACTGTTGCGAATAAACTGGGTGCTTTGAACCGAGAATCCGCGGTACCACATAGATGCCCGTCTGTCCGATTTATTCTTCTTCAAAAATGCTCATTTATTTCGCGTCTTGCCAAGTTTCTCTTCCGGCAAAAAGCCCGCTCTCTCGGAACAGAACACATTTACTTTTTCTAAACTCCTTACTTGGTAAGCTCGAAGCGTTGTACTAATTGCTGTTTTATGAGAACCGATGCGAAACAATTATCGTTGTGATTCCGACGAAATAATATATATATATATAAAATATCTGAAAAAATAATTTATCACGGAAATAAGTCATAATGGAACATATAATGTGTAAAAATATATATACTATAATTTCATAAGTGAGTTGAAGGAATGTCAAAGTGTGCGGAATTTTATCTTAGACTTTATCGTGAAAATCGTTTGCGTAAGTAATCCGCGACCTAGATCTTAATTAACGGTATGTGCGACTTTTCAGCGAACTATCTTTCAATCAGCTAGACACATATCCGGAAACTCGCGATTATCGTCAACAGCGACAGATTTAAAGATGCATCAAATATTTATTCACTAATTATGCAGCAGCAAGAGCATAATTTAAATTCTATTAATAATATCTATCAGTGCATGTGTGGTTTATTAAAAAATATCGCGCAGAACTTATTAATAGATGAGCAATTTATCGTAATCTCCGATTAGCCGGAACACTTAAGATTGCATCAATCCGCTAATTATCACGTACAATATTTTTTATGGATTTAAAATACTGCGATAAACATTATTAAATGGAATACGGGATGGTAGATTTCCTAAGCTGCGATGATACTTACAAATTATTCGCAGCGCTGCTCCAGAGTATGCATTTGGCAATGCTCGAAGAAATATCGTCATCGAGACTAACGAATTTGTACAATCATCTCGTGTATTCTCGAACATCGCAGATTTCCTTATTAATCCGAGACATATCTTAATATGATATTAGATCTTTTATCATACATATATTTCATGTTAGCAGAAAATTGATTTCTATAATTCCTCAGAAAGCACGTAAAATTAAACAAAAAGAAATAAGAAGTTTTATAGTTTACTGATATTTTTGAACACGTGAATACGGGACGAAATCTTTTAATTTTAATTCTAATAGAAAAAAAGAGTTCTAAATTTCAATTCTTTTAAACCTTTAATTCGAAATGCATTATTTTTTTTCTAATATTTCAAATTCTAATTATATAAATCGGATTAGATATTTTCGAGAGAATAAATCCTTCGGAATTCATTGAGAAATCCATCTGGGTTGACGTCAATTATCAAACATTCTGCGATTCAATGATACATCTGATGTGCGAGATTCCGCGCTGTTTGATATATATCGCATCTGTAAATCTGTGGCTGACGCATCACATGCAGAATATTATGAGATTCCTTGCATAAATGGACGCGTAAAAATTTAATATTCATTTCATGTTCGTGGGAGTAGATTTTTGTGTTTACAATCCATTGAGCAGCAAAAAATCAGAGAGATATTTACTTATTATAATATTTTGCGCTCAAAATACACGAAAAATAAAATTTGCATGCAATTAATAAGGCATACAAATGATGAATCTCATAATAAGGAATTTTAAATTAGAGATAAAATATAATGTACATTAATGAGTTACGATTTTAATTACTGTGCGAATTAATCACAACGCGAATTAAATAACGGATTAAAGGGGAAGATAGTAATAACAGTAATGTGAAATAAATTAGAATTGCGTTGAAATAATAAAATATTGCTTTGCAGGAATTTACAGAAATCAAGCACTGTGCGGCCGATTGCTATCCTATTAATGTGTAGTGAAAGTTCCGCAGCTGTACACATGTCCATTATATTACGATCACCGATGTAACCTTGGCGGTAATTGATGATACACAATATCTTCACGTGTATTTGTTCTTTTTTTCTCTCTTTCTTTACAAAGAAATTCATGCAGTTTTATGTCTCGAGTATAAAAAGAAGCGACATAGTATAATCAAATTTAACAGACAATTTGTGAAATACACAAAAAGTGACTTTATATTCTTTTCAATTTTTTAATAAAATTTAATATAATATTTTTTTCGATAAATCAAAATCTCTCTCTCTCTCTTTCAATTATTTAATTTTTTTTAAATTAATAAATCTCTCATACAGATATTTCCACCATATATTTCCTAGATTTAAATAATTAGCTTCTTTATACAAAATGTAAAAAATTTCTTAATTGCCCCGAAATGCCACTAACACAAAGTGACCGCATGAAATATATATGATATTTAAATACTCATATTACTTTTAAAATCAAATTTATATAGCCGCAATACAAACAGAAAGCCAATAAAGCGAGGTTACTCGCCATTATTGAAATCATAAAATCAAGTGTTTTGGGCTTTTAAAATGGACATTGCGCAACTCTGTTAATTATCCCCCGAGAGAGCTACTTCAACGGCTTGAGTTGAAGAAAGTACTCACTTCAACTCACGTCGATCACCTTTGAAATCTTCCGGCACCAAGTTATGCGTGACCTTGTTGATCTTTCTGGGCAAGAGTTTATTTACGTTGAACTTGAACTCCATTTCGACGATGGGGTCGTTGATGTCACCACTCGGATTGTCCGCCTTTCCTTCACGTTCTCGTCTCTCCTCGTCCACGCGTATGCGTCCCGTGCGTTGCTCCGTCCGGGTGGATACCTACGAGACTGTTTCCCTGCGTTCCTTCGACCCGGGGCGAGACGATGGCTCGCCTTGAATATGGCCGTTGTCCGCGCACCCTTTTGCGACAACTTCACGCCGCGTTGTTGATTGTCACGTGAACATCGATCGTATCGCTCTCCCTCTCTCTTTCTCTCTCGCGCGCGCGCTCCTGTCACCGCGATGCAGAATCTCTCGTATCTCAAATTGACACTTTTGCGCGACACTTGGGTTGTCACGTGGATCCACGCTAATCGTCCCTCAGCGCGATGATCGATCACTCTTCTCGTCCACCCGCATCGCTCGCGGGGACACGGCTCGTTCCGGCCAGACACGGGCGAAAGACACGGACGCGCTCCGAAATCGATCGCGGCTCCCGCAAACTCGTGCTCCCTTCACGACTCACGGCCGACTGATAGCCATCGCCGTCGTTCGCGAACGTAATACGCCACCTCCGCGTCCCTCCTTCGCGAAGCTGCGATCTTGACGTTCGCTCGGACGCGCGCTTTCGAAATGTCCGCGCTCTTCGGCCGCGCAGAACGCGACGGGTCCCGGGTCCCGATTTGACGAGATTTTTGCGAAGTAGGTCGAGAAAGGGAAAACCGAACAGTCGCGTGCGAATTTCAATCGACAGACTCGACAATCGCATGTCGGGGATCTGTTTCATTTGAATTCCGCGTTCAATTTTTCTCGTAAAAGCGGCGCGCCAGGATGCGCGCGCATCTGTCAATAGGGTCGTATTTACATGTGAGCAGCGTTTTGACAAACAATTTTTTTTTGTCGAGAGAATGTGTTTACAGCTTGACGTTTCTCTTTCTTAGGCCGGTATTCATAGTCCGATCTTATATTTGAGATCGTCTTAAGTTCGAGCTTGAAATGCTACGCAGCTATTTAATTGATTGAATGAGGTCTTAAGTCAACCTCCAAGCAGATTTAAGACGATCTTAAATATAAGATCGGACTATGAATACTGGCCTTAGATTTACTGTTTATAAAAAGTTATAGTTTTTTTTTTATTATAAATATATAGCGTCAATTTTGAAAATTATCTCGCACATTACTATCTAGACTTTTTTCTTTCATTTATGCTGAGTATATAAAAGATTATATTTAGAGTTGATTAAAAAATAGAAGAATTAAGAATACTGAAGATAGTATGTAATTTTATTATGGATATAGTTTAGCATAAATGAATAATATATCGGAAAATTGCAGGTTAGAACCTCATATTTTATTATAAATTTGAAATATTAATCAATCTCTCTATGTATTTATGTTTATTTAAAATGTTTCAATCTACTTTTCTTTTGATCTTTGAAGAAAAAATCGTTTAATAAATATAACGAATTTTATTCATATTATATTATAATTAAGAATTACCTGTGCAACTTGAATCCACCACTGATTTTGCGAAAAATCTCCACAAGTTTCGTTGCTTTAACAATAGAGGACGTCGTAAATTTATTTCCTCTTTGAATATATCGACAACAGCACGTATCATCTCCTTAATTATCGACGCTTAATAAGTGCAGTATAAAAAAAAATTGCGTGCTTTTAAATATCTAAATAATTCGAGTCACGGGTGCGTGAGATCCTTTTCTATAAATAAACTATAAAACATTAATTAGGATTGCACCCTTGAAAAGAATCTCAATCTCGATATTTATTTTAATATTGTCAGAGAATTTACTTTTATTACAGAGCATTAATCTTTATTAGACTCCAGTTTTTTATGATGTAGTTAAACATATATAATGTTAGATTGAATCTTAATCGTCTATTATGTTTACTATTTAAATTATAATTGCTATTCCCATAAATACTGTTTGTTGCAGTAATTTGACGTGAAAGTAACAAATAATATAAAGCAAATCACCTCTATACAATATTATAAAATTGTGTATTATATGTATTATTTCATAACGTTACAATAATATAATGTAAGAGCATATTATTATACAGGGTGTTTCAGATCACCCGTACCACTCATTTAAAAACTAGAAAAGTGGTTATTTCAAGAAAATAAAAAAACATTTTCTTTTATAAATCGAGTGCGCTCTATCGAATGCTGATATTTTCAACTTCTGGTTTCGGCCGGAAATAGGCGATTCAGACCGGAAGTGCATTTTTTTAAATGGAACCCCCTATTTCTCATTGCATGTTCTTGTAGCTTACTTCGAGAACTTTCCAAAACACTATAATAAATTATTTTTCCATGAAATACTTTTCGAGTTATGAGGCTTGAAATCATTTCTTAATTTTACATAAACCATAAAATATCTTGTAAAATATTCATTTTTCGATTACCTTGATACTTTTATGTACAAAATAATGAGAGGAATTAATTGGTGTAAAGAAAACACATAGTTGTTTCTAAGAAACAATATGGAATTGTTAATTCCAAATTATATATTTATTTAAAATTTTTTTATTATTAAAATATTAAGAAAACCTGTTACTAAAATATTCAACAATTTTCAATATTTATGATATATGATAATATATTTATAATTCATTATATAATATATGCTGAATGATTAAATATTATTCGATAAAATTAGCCGAATTCTCGTATATATTTACATATATATGCGTAGCAAAATTCGAAATTAAAATCAAACTTAAACTTGAAAAGCAACATATTAAATTTAGTCTACTGAATCAGATGAGATTGATCTGTACGATTATTAAAATAATCGGCGATTGTTTATCCTTGAAACGAGATTCCTTGAGATTTCTGTGTTGCCCTATAATGACCGTGAGCAGAAGGATGCATCATCCTCTTTGGTGATCGCCTCCCAGAAGCTGTCCCGGACGTTTGAGAAGCACGCCTGCACACGCATCAGCGAAACGTGATTTGAGTGTGAAGTGTTATTTAGCAGGTGCTATAAGACATCCTAACACATCTCTCATATATAAACTACTAGCGAGCAGGCGGCAAGGTTTAGTCGGTCGATTGTTTCAATCGTGAATCTAATAATATTATCGTTGAGCTTTCGAAAATTAACGATCGCGAGGGATTAATGACATCTTCATGGCGTTATTTGCTTGAGGTAAAATGCATCGTCCACTATCAGGGTTCGTGCTATTTTTATCTTTTTTTATCGCTTTTTGTATCGTTTTTTTGTCGTTAATAATTGTATTAAATTTATCGTATGAACGGCACGTGAAGTTCGAATTGAAGTCGATTCCACGCACGCTTTGTTTTGCATATACTGCGTAGAATCTTATTTCTTTCCAGAATTAAGCAAGGACTACTGTGTAATATTTGTCACATACGAGATATAATCGCAGAAAATACACATGCTGATATATTACATCTCGAATAAGAAAAAAAATGTAAATTAGTCGGCGAGAGAGTATGAGAGCGCGCGTATTTTAATGTTGTTTATCTAAAAAAAGTCAATACTTCATAAGAATTATGAGAAAGAGTGAACCCATTGGAAAGAAATTTAAATATTAAATTATGAAGAATGTACGCGACACATGACACTTCACGCATTTTTCGATGGGGGAGGGAAGTTGCATTTTCTCTCAGTCATATAAATACGCAGGCATCACAAAGATACGCGAGTTGGTTAACTGATGTTGTCAAGAACCTTTGGATATTATATAATATTTGTTTCCGGAATATATTACACTTTCTTCAATTTGTAAGTAATTGTTTCTTTTTCGTGTCTACAGCAAACTTGTTGTTTTCACAAATTTCAATGTTTTTTAATTTCGTTTCTGACTATCGTAAATCATCTTAAATATATTTATTGCGATATTACATAAGCTCAAACAATACTGTTGATGCTATTTATTTTTATAAATGATATATTATCTACAATATTAATTTTTTTCGTTGTTTTATATCATAAGAGAAAATATTATAATAATCAAGTTAAAATATAGTATTAAAATGTTTTACAATATAACTTCTATTGTGGAACACATATAAGAAATTACAATATTTATTGAATAATATTATATTTTTTATTATATTTTATATATTATATTATATTATATTATATCATATTTTTTATTATATTTTTTTAAAGGAATATTATATAATTACTCAAATATTTTGATGCAAAGGTGTCAAATCGGAAAAGAATTCTCTCAAAAAAATCTTATTTCTCTCATATCTCATGTCGGCTAAAAATAATTGTAATGAGTATTTCAAGGGTTTGACAAATACATATTGGATAAACCTCTCGATTAATATTTTCAGTTGTACTCTTGTTATGAAACTTATTGTCATGCGATCGGTATACGCGATTGCTCGCGACACACTCTACTTCGCATGCTTCGATACGTCAATTAACAGATGTTCTATTCTGAATCACTAATGCCATGAAGTAAATGTCCCTCGTAAAATTTGGATGAATCAATGCTATTCAATGATCGGATGCATATTATTTGCATGTACGATTATAAGTATGTGTTTATTTCAGGCAACAAACATGTCTTACGATTAAGTGCAAGTTTCATGACCCAGATCGTTGGAGAAATGATATCCAAATAAATCTCTAAAAAAATCTATCTAAACAAACTAAAAACTATCTAAATAAATAATAAATATTTTTCTAATGATTTTATACTCATAGAGAGTGTATTGTGTGTATCTTAAATATTATTAACTGTATATTTTACAAAATGATCAACTAATATTTAATGTTGCAAAATACATGTAATTTGTAAAATTTCTGTGCAAATATTTTCCATGCCATTAACGCGAATTAATGCGCAAGCATAATGCAAATTTATATCTATATTAATATCTTTTTATATAAGACTTATCATGCTACAGTCATTAAGTTTATTTATAGACTCGCAGAATTTAGACGCCAAAATTTTATTGAATTAATATTGATGTTGATCTCAGGCTTCCTGTTGCAAATATCAAATTGATGAAACTAAACATTTTTAACTTATTTCACACACACACACACACACACACACATGCATGCATATATACACACACACACGCATGTGGATATACATATATAATGTGTGTGTGTGTGTGTGAGAGAGAGATAAGTTAAAAATTCTTAGTTTCATCAATTTGATCTTTGTAATAGGAAGCATGAAATTAACATCAATATCAATTCAATAAAAATCTGGCGTTGCGCATAATGCAAATGATAAATTAAAACAGTGTTGTAAAGATCATAAGCCGCAAAGTTAAATCAAACACACTTACGAAATAATCGGTTTCCTTTTCATTTGCACTTCCTCTTAGCACATTCGATTTAAGTGACAAACAACAAAATTTTATTACAATGTTTTTGTGTCGTTTCTAAAGATACAAAGATTATACGAAGGAATAAATTGAATAATGAATAGCATTTAGTGTTAAGTAAAGAAAACATTTTTGTTTCTCTCTTATGCTTTTATCGTATAATTCGTTGTTTGACATTACGTCTTTCTGTTATATACCAGTTGAATCGTTTACCGGGCGAGATGTGGACCTATCTTGCTTTTCTAGTTATCGTCTACGTTATATACACATTGAGGAATTACATCAGGATCCTCAAATTTATTTTCACCCTTGATGGACCAAAGACGGTGCCCATTCTTGGCAATGCGAATGCCGTTCTCGAAGGAAACCGTGAGTGATTGAATTCATTATATTGATTGAAATCGTTATAGAGCAACACAGAAATCTCAAGGAAATCTCGTCTCAAGGATAAACGATCGCCGATTATTATAATAATATATATCGATCTAATGATCCAATGGACTAAATTTAACTGTGTTGCTTTTCATTAAGTTTGATTGACAATTTCGAATTTTGATGCGCGTACATATGTAAACACATACGAGAATCCGGCTAATTTTATCGAATAATATCTAATCATTCAGGGTATATTATATAATAAATTATAAATATATTATCATATATCATAAATATTGAAAATTGTTGAATATTTTAAAAACAGGTTTTCTTAATATTTTAATGCAAAAGTCCGATTTAATAGAAACTTAATAAATAAAAACTAAGTAATAAAATATATTAATATTATAAAAGCAATAAAATAGAATGTTATACAAATATTACCGATGAATGAACTAGTTAAATGTAATTTTCCATTCATAAATATAACATGTAATAATACATATTAAATCGAGGTCGGCACATACACAGTAAAAAATTGTGCGTCCATATGTTAAAATTTCCTTGTGTTACCACGTTTTAATTAGTACTTCGATGTAAAATTAACATACAATCTATATGTTATTATTTTTATAACGTTTTCATGTGTTATGTCAACTCCATAATTTAACACTTTGTATATGTCTCTTAGAAATGGAATATTATTAATATAATCATTCTAAACAATCAACATGTCTCAAAATCAGTTTAACATTCTAAAAAAAAGTTAAAGTGAATCTTCAAATAATCTTGAACTTTGACATACAAAAGTAATCAAATTTACTAAAATCAAATGTTTCTACAAATAATTTAAGTTAAAATAATTATTATTATATAATTAAAATAATTATTATTATTAACGTCCTCAACATTTCTTACGAGTTTTTTGTAACTATTTTTTCATGTAATTTTTAATTAATTTGTATGTTATTTTTACATTACACTTAAAGTCACGATAATAAAAATAAATGTAAAGTATTGTGTCAATTATTTAACATTTTTAATTTGTCAATAAATAATATACGACGAATGAGTTATTTTAACTTAAAATTTAGAATGGACTTTCTTGGACATGTGAAAAATGTTATAATTAACATTTTATTTTTTACTGTGTATTGATTAATTAGTTAAAGAGATTCAATGCTATTTTATCGAGCTATTCGAAGAGCTTTTCACGTTGATTACACTTGAGTAAAGATCGCAATGGCTCATAACTAAAGAAACTTTTACTTTAGTTTGTCAAATATTTCATGATGAAAAGATAAATTTATAACAATTTTATAGCAACGAGATATAATCGATCGAGAACTCTATCTCGGATAAAAAATTTTTTTTAGTGATTCAAAGAATGACAAACGAGGTGCAGAATTACGGCCGCATTTTTCGGATATGGATAACGCTTCTGCCGTACGTCGTGCTCGTTGAGCCGGATGACATTCAAGTGGTGCTGAGCAGCATGAAGCATACGCGGAAGATATTCTTTTATAAGCTACTCGATAATTTTCTGGGTAAGGGTTTGATCACGCGGGACGTCGACAAGTGGAAGATACATCGAAAAATCCTGCAGCCGGCCTTTCATCTTCACATTCTCGAGGAATTCGCCGGAACATTCGCCAAATGCGCCGATCATTTAATCGAAAAGTTACTAGAGAAAGACGGAAAGGACGTGAATGTCACCGTGTTCATTAATAATTCAGTTTACGACATATTGACCGGTATGTATATTTCTAAAAAATTAAAGATTATAAGGATCGATAAAGTTCTATTTTTATGACAAATCTTTATTCATGATGCTTAAAAAAATCTAAATTTTTGTAATATTATGAAATATCTTGCGTAAGATATTAGAGAGAGGATTACTCGTTCCTTAAAATCGCAGTTTCCATTTCGATTCATTTGCAAAATGACAGAATGATATATGACACACAGAAATGCTAATTGACCTACTTAAGACGTGAAAACATTAGGTTTTTTTCTTCTTTCGAAGATTTCGAAAGAAGGAGATATATTTGACTTGCAAAACTGAGTTAGAAGAAAACTTTGCCGATTCACGAATACATTTTCTACTTTGTGAAATGCGAGTGTAAAGTAAATAATAAAAAGGTTAATAGCATCTACACTTATATTAAATTGCCACGCGACAAATGCATTAACGTAAACGAGCGCATAAGACGTGCGATAAAGACATAGGACGCACGATGATGATTCACCACGGTGATTTTGTTTGGTCGTAGAAATCGATACGGATTGTGAATGGCCGGTAATTGCTAAAAGCGTCTCACTTCTTTACAAACCATGGAATAGCGAGGGCACGCTAATTAACATAAGAATGAGACAAAGCTGAGAAATATTTAAACAGCGCATAACCGCGTACGGCTTTGTTGACTCTCAATATTCGCGTATCGCTAAAATAAATGTCTTTAAAGTGATACTGCGTGTACACTTGAAATTTCCATTATCATGCGTTTCCATAGCTGGTGATGTTCCGATGATAAATATTCTCTGAATAACAATTATTTTCCTACAGAGACGATTTTGGGTATGAAGGTCGATCGGAGAAATAGCAACGCCGAGGATGACACGCCATTTAGGAAGTAAAGTATAGGAATTTATTTGACTATTAATTTCATAATAAAGTATTGAATTATTCAACTGAAAAAATATTTGATTTTCAATCTTTAAAAAAGTTTAGACATTTCTAAAAGACATTTATCTTAATCTAAATGTATAAAAACCCACTCAGGTATCAATAGCTTCATGAATTTTCATGTATATTCGCTCTTTATGTTAAATTATTGCCAAGGCCTTCGCTTTTTGTCGATTCGTTGAATACATTCTATATATTGCGATGAATAAACGATGATAAAAATCACAATATCGATATATTTTTGTAAAACAGGGGTCAAGTTATGATACCGTACAGATTCGCACGACCGTGGTTACTAATTGATTGGATCTATCGATTGACGGCAGCTGGAAAATCGGAGGAACAGCAGCAGAAAGATCTACTTGACTTTTGCTTCAGAAAAATGAAAGAGAAACGCGAGCTCTTGCGGCAGAACAATTCGTTCGTCATCGATGATGAAACGATGAGCGCGGAAGGCAGGAAGATATCCCTACTCGAGTTCATGGTCGAAATCAGCGAGAGGAATTCTTGTTTCACCGATCGGGATATCATCGAGGAATGTTGTACCTTTATGCTAGCCGGCCAAGACTCGGTCGGCACCGCTGCCGCGATGACGCTTTTCCTGCTGGCGAATAATCCCATATGGCAGGAAAAATGTATCGCGGAATTGGACGAGATTTTTGGCAGTGATGAGAGATCGCCTACTATACAAGATCTTAAAAATATGAAGTGCTTGGACATGTGTATCAAGGAATCCTTGAGATTGTATCCTAGCGTGCCGATTTTCGCCAGGACACTTGGAGAAGATGTGAGAATAGGTGAGATTTTTTGAATAGGATTTCGATTTTTTATGATCGACTTTTATCGATTTCAGTTATTATTTCAATCAATATATTATTTTATATATTTATACATGACATACATTACATTATGATAAATATAATGAAAATTTTCCAAATTTAATCACATAACTTTATATCATATACGATATAATTATTTATCTTTTTTATTCAAAATATATAAAATAAATTTTAAGATACAATATTTATATAAAAATTTCAAAATATTTTTTATTTCAATTTAAAAATTTATAGATATTCAGTAATTTATAAAAAAAATTGATAAAAATAATAAAAATTATTATAATCGTACGTAATACAATTTTGTATCATATATAAAGTAAAAATAAGTTATCTCGAAATAAATGACGACTCAATTATCGCTTTTGAAATAATAATTATAAATCAAAAAAATATTTATTTTATTGGTATCTAGGAAAACATGTGATACCAGCCGGTTGCGGCGTATTTATAGCACCATATTGCACACAACGTTTGGCTCATCATTTTCCGAATCCTCACGATTTTAAACCGGAACGTTTTAGTCTCGAAAACTCTGAAACAAGACATCCCTACGCCTATATACCCTTCAGTGCCGGTCCTCGTAATTGCATTGGTAAGAACAAATCTAAATATATACTACAGACTAATGAAAAAAATATAATTCGTAAAATAAAAATACTATATATTTACTTTTGCTATATCAATAAATTTATCAATTTTTTTGACAAAAAAGAAAAATACTATATATAATTCGTAAAATAAAAATACTATATATTTGCTATACTTTTGCTATATCAATAAATTTATCAATTTTTTTGACAAAAAAGAAAAATACTATATGTTCTATATCTCTTCTTAATTTATTAGGATATAAATTTGCCACACTCGAGATGAAATCGATAATCAGTGCGGTTCTAAGGAAATGTCGATTAGAATCGATACTTGGCAAGGAAAAAGTGATAGCAAAGTTTCGGATGACAATCAGAGCGCACGGTGGACTTTGGGTCAAAGTGAGATCGAGGAAATCGTAGCGACTGACAAGATTAACAGGCTATCGATTTTGAAACTAGAAATGACGATTGTAATATTTTGAAAATTTATAACAATTGAAAAAAAAAACAGAAAGATGCAGTTCGATTTTATGTTTAAGAAATCGTGATTTTTTTGTTTATTATTTGTGTGAATAAAATATGACAAATGTAAACAAATGAACTGCTTATGCATAACAAAATTTTAAATTTAAAAAACTACATACAAGATCTTTTGGCAAATTATAAAACTATATGTGCCATTATTATTACCTTTAAACATAAAAATATGTAGTAGGTTTATAAATTCTATTAATAACCAAGGCTCAAGAAAAAACAAACACTACAAGTATACCATAAACGCGTTGTATCATAAATTAGCAAAATCATCGATTTTTAAATTTAGACATTCTTCTCACAAATATATCATTAAAATAGTTAAGTATATAGACAATTGAAACCATGCATTAGTATGAATGCAGTAAACAATAAAATAAAGTAATTTTTAAATTAATTTTTCCCTTCAAAAACAATTGTTAATTTTTTAAATAGATATAGAGAAGTGAACCATGTAAAAGTGCGAATGCGTAAAATGCGTGAATATAACAAATATAGTGTTATATATGGAATTGTAGTTTTTTTTAATAAATACGGAACTGTAGTTTTTTTAAATAAACCGGACATTTTTGTCTTTCCTTATATTTTTTACGTATGTGATAGATCGAATATAAAGTCCTAACTCTTAAGCAAGGAAATCTTAAGCCTTGTATTAAACTTGATAAGGTTGAGATTACATGTTAAAGATTGAAATTTGATTAATTCCTTCAAACATTACAATTATAAAAACTGCAATTTTATTTATTTTTTCTTCTTTCACCTGTATTAAAAATATTCAATCTTTGAGATTATGTAGCATACATTTTTTCCCGTGTAAAAAAATTTCCCATACATCTATATGCGCGCGCGCACACAACACATGCACACATATTGTGTGTATGTATAAAAATTTATTTAAAAATTTATTTACAAGAATATAAACAAATATGATAATTATTTTTGTGCTAATTTTTGTTCTTCTTTTCCCTCATAAGTCATTATAAAAATACAAATAATAATATATCATACATAATAATGTGTATAATAATATATGTATCAATTATTAGACTAACGATTATTGTACATCACGTTGTATATATTATACTTTAGCTTCTGTCAATTTGATAAGAAGTTTATCTTTGGCAACATTATCACCTATAGAGCACAGTACATCTTCAACAACTCCATTTGTACATGCTTTAATAATATACTATAATGAAAAAATATTAGATATACATATGTATATTATGTGTATGTATTATTATTATATTAATAAGACAATTTAATTAATTTACCTCCATTTTCATGGCAACAATAACAAGTAATGAATCGCCCTTCTTTATTACATCTCCTTTATTAACAAAGATTTTTTCAACTAATCCAGGCATTGGACTTAGTGCTGTATACGGATTTTGCTCTGTTCGGCCCATAAGTGTATTCACGAATTTAGGAGTAGGAATAATCAATTGCCATTCATGATCCTACAAATAAATTTTATAAAATTATGTATATAATATAATATCTAGAGTTTCTAATTTCATTAAAAATTCTATATTATAATAATTACTTTAGTAAATATGTGTAATTTATTATTGAGTTTCACTGTCCGTGCTTTAGTGATTATTCCATCAATTTCCGTAAATAGCTCTAAAACATCATCTATTTTTTTCAAAGTTCCAATCACTTTTCTCCATGGTCCTAATCTATTAACTCTCATTAGATACAAATCTGGTTCCGGATATTTCACTTCCACTATATGATTTTCATTTCCGACATTAAAATGAAATGTATGATTTAACGTGTGATTTAATCTGAGTCCAGTTTCCATGGCAAATGGACTGAAGGGATCTTTTGTTTCTAATGATGCACTCAATGAATCTACATCTTCATGTAATATCCAAGCAAGAGCAGCTTGAATCAGTATTGAATTAGGTACGTGTAATTTAGGAAATAGTTGTTCAAAGTTTTCCTCGATAAATCCCGTGTGTACTTCGCCATTTTGAAATTTAGGGTGAACACAAAGATCTTTGATAAATTCTATATTTGTATCCAGGCCAGCAATCTATAAAAATAGAATTATTTTATCTGATTTAATTTTATATATATATATATATATATATATAATTTTTTAAATATATATATATATAATTTTTTTTTTTTTTATAATTTATATACTTTTATGAATTTACAATTTATGAAATTGTTACTTACATTATATTCATTGAGCTTTGATCTAAGTACATTGAGAGCTTCGTTTCTACCTTTTCCCCAAACCACTAATTTCGCTATCATCGGATCATAATGCACAGACACTTCATCATTTTGTCGAACTCCAGTTTCAACTCTAACATTATCTGTTATTTGAGGGGTTTTTAAATATAAAAGTTGACCAGCTCCTGGTAAGAAACCATTTCTTGGATTCTGTAATATTATAGCAATAATGTCTATTCAATCATAAATAAAATTGTATATTTGTTATATTTTATATTTATTTTAATATAAAACGGATAGACAGATATAAATCGTTACCTCGGCATAAATTCTGGCTTCAAATGCATGGCCATTAAGAGTGATTTGCTCTTGCTTAAGCGGAAGTTCTTCGCCACTGGCTATTTTCATTTGCCATTCAACCAGATCCAAACCAGTAATTGCCTCGGTGACAGGATGCTCTACTTGAAGACGCGTATTCATCTCCATAAAGTGAAAACTATGACTATTTTGATCCATTATAAATTCCACTGTACCAGCACCCACATATCCCACAGCTTTAGCAGCACGCACAGCTGCTTCTCCCAATTCTTGCCTGAGCTTCTGGGAAATATTAGGCTGTAAAATAAATCAACAATAATTCCAATTCTCTATCTTTCTATATATCTCTACAATGATAATTAATAAACGTACAGCAGGCGCCTCCTCAATTACTTTCTGATGCCTCCTTTGAACAGAACAATCTCTTTCAAACAGATAAACAGCATTTTCATATTTATCAGCAAAAATCTGTACTTCCACATGCCTAGGTTTAGCAACATATTTTTCTAAGAGCACTGCCGAATCCCCGAATGCTTTTTCAGACTCAGTTCTTGCAGATTCCAGTGCTTCAATAAAGTCAGATTCCTTCAGAGCAATTCTCATACCTTTCCCACCACCACCGCGTACAGCTTTGATCATTAATGGAAATCCAATCTTTCTGGCTTCTATCAATAATGTTTCACTTGTCTGATCTTTTTCATGGTAGCCTGCAAACAAATCATGGATGTTGAAATTGAATTTTTTTAAAAATATTTTCTGTATACTTAAAATAAAAAAGAATATCCTACCTTCTATGATAGGAACTCCAGCTTTCATCATAATAGCTTTTGAAGTATTTTTTATACCCATATCTCTAATAGCACTGGCTGGTGGACCGATAAATATGATGTTCTCCCGTTGACATAACTCTGCAAATTCTGTATTTTCTGAAAGAAATCCATATCCTGGATGGACAGCTTGGCATTTGGCTTGTTTAACAACTGATATAATCTTATCTTGCCGTAAATAACTCTGATTAGATTGAGCAGGTCCAATGCAATAAGCTTCATCAGCTTGTTCCACATGCATAGAATTCCTGTCCGCTTCGCTATATACAGCCACAGTCTTTACACCAAGTTTTTTAGCAGTTTTTATTATGCGACATGCTATTTCTCCTCTGTTTGCTATCAGAATCTGCAAAATAAATTTGTTTTCAAAATGGCTATACATATTTTGAGCAACAATTATAAGAGTTTTGGGAACTGACTTTGTTGATCCTGACTTTCTCGAGCTGCGAAGCTGATTGATGAGACTTTCGGGCATACGAGGATAATTGATGCCTATAACATGTAAAAATTAATTAATATACACATAACAAATTATTGATTGAGAATATATCTCACATATAATTTACTTGCCTGTAAAATATCGAGTTAAATTTTCCAAAATGATACATGACGAGTGTATTTGTATCATTCGTATGTCGTAATTTAAGTAAATATGTTCCACATTGACTTGTACTTTTTCTTCTTCATATCAAGTCACGCATTTACCCGATTATGTACATAGCCATTATCATTTTCTAACCTTTGGTAGGGATCAAGGAAAGGCTATCGCACGCAACTAACAGCTGACAGTTGTATATATGAAACAAGGGATCTGTTCTTTTCAGCTGCACTGCTGCACTAGTGCAATAAGTTAGAAAGAGACAAACATACTTTCTTTCACTCTAACTAATTGCACTAGTGCAGCAGTGCAGCTGAAAAGAACAGACCCATTCTTATCACACACATTATATATATATATACAGGGTGTCCCAATACTCATAATCAATCTTTTAAAGACAGATTCCTGGGATCATTTGGAGACGATTTTTCCTCAGCGAAAATGTCGATAAAGGCCATCATTTTTTGCATGTTCCCAATTTTTGTCATCATATATTTTTGCAATTAAGCCTTAAATTAAAACTTAACTAAAGTAAACTCTATTTAAAATTAATTGAAGAATGTGGTTTTGTTAATATTTTATTTCTACAAAACTTAGTTTACGAAAAACCCCTTATTTTCAATCACTTATAATTCGAAAATTATTAGTGCCTCGACATTTTCGTTGAGGAAAAATCGTCTTCACATGATCTCAGGAATCTGTCTTTGAAAGATTGATTATGAGTTTCGGGACACCATGTATATATATATATATATATATATATATATATATATATATATATATACACATATAGCTACATACGCATAGCATAATGGCACATTCATATTTAGGTAGAAAAGCAAAATCCAATCAGAATTCGTACTGATAGTTTCACAATCAATTTCTATTTTTTTTTTAATGTATGTGAGCGATGAGAAAAGAGATGCGCCTTCTGTAGCATTGTATTTTTATCTTATCTTTTCTATTTCTTTGCTGGCTGTTGTATTTTCTCCGGCTGAATCGGAAAAAAAGAATAATTATCTATAAAATTTATTTTAACAAAATACACAAATATATTTAATATTATTTTTAATGTTAATGATAATGTTAATTCTATAATATTATAATATATATGCAGATTTCATTCTTTTTGATTGCACATTTACAGGCAAATTGAGTACTTGTTTGCACATTTATAAAAAAAAAAGCTTCGGGATTTCGGGAATTTCACTCAAAGTTCAAATTTTTCAAAGCAAAATTCTTTTCGTAACAGGCTTAATCCATATTAGATTTTCGTTTGCACATTTACAGACAAATTGAATTTTTTGTTTGCACATAAGTAGAAATAAAAATATTAAGAAAAAAACTTGGGGGTTAATTTCACACTCAAAGTTTAAATTAAATGTAAATGTCCAATCAAAAAGAATGACCTGTACATATATATTATTATATCATAAAATTAATATTCGTTAGCATTAAAGATAATATTAAATATATTTGTACATGTATTTTTTATATATGTTTGTACATGTGTTTTGTAAAGATTAATTTTATAAATATATGGGAGTTCGGTTTTATTACCGTTATTTATTACAATTCCTAGTGGAATTTATGTATGTAGTAGATTATATTCGAATTATAAATAAATGACAAATTTTTGAATTGTTATTTTAGGAATTATATTCGAATTATAATCAGAGAGAAACCTGAAAGCGGCCACCTAGCCTCGATGGGCACATTTCTCGACGTTTGACGTCTGAGAAAGTGGACACAAACTATGTCTGTTAGACCTGGTAACGATACGTAGTTCGCATCCGTGTGAAGGCGGCTTTATCGCCAGAAATAAATTCTGGCCTTAGCGGGACTTGAATCTGCGACTCTTAATATGGAAAGCAAGAGACTTGCTCGCTCAGCTACACGCTGCCATACATTTCGTCTCATCAACGATGAGCGAATTATGCGGCAGTAAGCACAAGGCGAGCTATTAAAAATGTATTTATTTTTCCATTTTATTATAAATAAAATAGAATTATTATAAACAAAATAGCTATAATTTTAATTACTATTATATTTAATAATTATAATTACTATTATAATTACTACTTATATTATTAATATTATAGCTATTTTATTTGTAAAATGGAAAAAATAAGTTACTTTATTTTTATTTTATTTTTTTATTTATAATCAAATCAACTCGACGCTAATTGAATCGCAATGGTTTGATAACTAGCAACGGTACACTTGCAACGTATTCTAGAATGACTTTAATTTTTTAGTGGCAAAATACTTTTTATTCTATCTCAAAGGATTTAATAAATTTTTTTAATAATTTCTTTTTGACGCCGCAAAAGGGTACTTAGCTTCCCTTTCAGGCACCTTAAGATTTATCATAAATAGAAAAATTTAAGATAAACTTCAAGGCACCATCCAAGTACTAAGCCCTCCCACCGCGACAAGGTGTACCCCATGGGAGGGTTATATTATATATAATTTTATATATAATATAATATATATATAATATAGCATTTATTTTGCAATATAGTATATAAATTCAAATTTGCATAACAAGACCGTAAAACAAAATCATTAGTGTGTACTGTTTATATCGGATACTATGTTGTTCTTAATTCATTGTTGAAATATTTTATATTGACATATTAATGTATCTCATATATCTAATGTATTAATGTGTCGTAAGATTAAAAAATTAAAATAATTACACGTCATGGTACATAGCTATTGTTTAATTAACCAGGATTTAATTAACAAGGAGAATATTTAAGCATTGATAGAAACATATTTAATTCTAATAATGTTAAAGAAATATTATAAGCATGAATGATCGAAAGATCATAACATGTGAACACATAAATAGGATATAACGAAAAAATGACATGAAAGTATGAAACTTCAAAATTGCATATCTCAGCAACAAATAGAGAGCCACAAAATTCAAACGGTGTATTACTTAGGAATGTATCCTCTACAACATATGTGAAAATAAAAATTTTTCGAGCTATGTGACGTAAAGTAAACATTTACCATAATATTTTATAATTATGTCTATAATTTACAATTAATTAAAAATTTTATAATTTAGTTAAAAACTCACAACAGCTCAGAAATTTAGTTGATCCCTTGATTGACTCATAATATTAAAAACCTTAGAATCTTATAATATAATCACATCACATAAATTTCTAAAAAGTTGATATCAACAAATAAATATTATTTTTTAAAGAAAAATTTGTGAAATTTTTCGTTTTTATATCTTAAAAATTTGACATTGATAATAATAAAAATTATATGTGCATTAATCTTTAAAAAATTCTTTGACTCTCCTCTCATTTTTGCAGTACTCGTATAATTATCAAGTACTAATCTATTTATATAAAAAATGGATAAAACAGAATGATACCAACAAGATGAACTTATCGAATGAAGAAGTATTCGTTAAAAGGGAGAATTCAAGGATATTCTCACTAGAGGGGAGCACTTTTATCTTTTCAACCACCGCATATTTGTTATATATTTACCTAATATTTTCGCTTTATTCATAAAAATTTATCTCCTCAAAATTAAGATCCATAGATTTCTATATATTATATCTAGACCGCTAACTTAATTGAAAAGTTGTTTACAATTAGACAGAATATATAGATTGGGTTAATATATTATTTTATATTTTGATATAAAGTTATATTTCAATTTATCAATAGTTATAAAATATAAGTTATTTTCATGTATAAATATTGATTGATATTCTAGATTAAATATTCTGTCCATTAATGTCCAGTAATTATATTCTGCTCAATTGTAAATGGCTATCCTAGTCTCGTAGGTAACATCTTTAGCGATTGAATCTAATTAAAAGCTATAATTTAAAGCTAATATAATATACAGAAATTTATATTGAGATCTCTCAATCAATGACTACAAAAATCATAAACGTAGAATATTAAATTTATATGCGAAAAAAAGTAAATCGTTTCGTTTATTACGCAATGTAAATGATAAATATTTAAGGATTCGTAGAAATCTCACAAACTTTTCTATAAAAGATTGTAATAGAAATGCGACTTCTCGATTGATTAATAACTGCACGAAATATATAAGTATTGATAAATAATCGAAATAACTATTTGTGTCTCGATGCGACGTTTAATTCAATTACCATTAACGCTGATTTGGCTCCTTTGATCGGCGACTGTTTTAGATACCTAGTTGTGCAAACGCCGCAAATAACCCCTCGAACCCGTCTCTCCCATTAATTCGGAGAGAACACCGGAATTACTGATTCTACTGTTTCCGCGCAAACCAGAGAGACGAGAGGAGATCTCGCACGGACATCAGGGGTTCTTTGATCCGAATGATCTTGAAATTCTGTATGAAAGCTTCAGCATTTCAAACTATAAAAGCGTATTTTAAAAAAATGTTTCTGATTTAAATAGCTGATTTAAATAGCTGATTTAAATAGATTTCTAGATGTTACAATAAAAATTTACCGCCATTTTTTGTATATATTAGAACATTGTTTAGGTCCCATTGCCAAATATTAATCACTGCATTGGATAAATATAATTTTTGACTAGATCGATCTTTGTGAAAAATTTTCTTACAATTCTTAAATTTAATTCAGTTAAATATTATCATAAATTTAATTTTAATTATAGTTAAATTTTATAATAAGTATGATTAGCTTTAGCATGGATAAGTAGAAAAACTTTCTTTTTAAATTTCATTAACAGTTTAGTTGTAAATTCTGTATCTTTATTATTAAATTAAGTATAAAACATATATAATATTATAATATTCGCTAATTATTTATATACCTCATTGTCAGTAATTTTTTGCATCTAGGAAATTATTGCTATAATTGTTTGCAAGACTATTTTTTTGAATTCTAAAATTTCATGAATGTTTATAAGCATTTCGGAACGTATCCAAGAATTCGCAGATCTTGGTAAAATTATAAAAATATAATATATTTATTCTCTCTCTCTTTCCCTCTCTCTTTTTAAAAATTGTTATAAAAATTATTTTGTTTTAAATAAGTATTGTGAATTGTATATGCGGTTTTGTAAAAATATTTTAATCTTTTACACTGAATGTTTGAAAAGAAATATTATTAACAAAGAAATTAGTTTCATTCTTTTTTCATAAGAGATGCTGTAAGTGACATTCACGAGCGTGCAACAAGTTTATAATGTT